AGGGCGGAAAGTGTTGCCACCTTCTTTCCTATGAGATCAACAGGGAGGAGGTCCAGCACAGTATCCAGGGCTTCCCCTGGAGTAGTGCGTAGCCCGGCAGTTATGCATAGCTCTGCCATGCGTTGAACTCTGCTGAGTTTATTGAGGCCTGTCCTTTTGTCCAAGGCTGGCCACCATACCACCACTCCATAGAGCATGAATGGTCGTATGATGGCGGTATAGAGCCACCGAACTATATAGGGGGTCATTCCCCATTTTAGTCCGATGGCTTTCCTGCAAGTATAGAGGGCCACTGTGGCCTTCTTTACTCTATCCTCTATGCTCAATTTCCAATCGAGCTTTCTATCGAGGATTAGGCCAAGATACTTGGCGTTGTTGCTGAAGACTAGCGTTTCCCCACATAGTCTTGGGGGAATCAGTGCCGGAACTTTGTACTTCCTAGTGAAAAGCACCAGTTCCGTTTTAGACGGGTTGACGCCTAACCCGCATTTGTCTGCCCATTTCGACATTTTCGTGAGAGTACTTGTCATGCACTCACACAACGTCTGCGAAAATTTTCCGGAGAATGCTATGGCAACGTCGTCCGCGTACGCCACCACACGGCAGCCACCCCCCTCTATCTCCCGCAGCAGTGTGTTCACTGCCACGTTCCATAGGAGGGGCGAGAGGACTCCGCCCTGCGGTGTGCCTCTGCTGACAAATCTGGTATACGTTGACGTCCCCAGTGATGCCTCAACCGTCCTGCATTGTAGCATCTGATCGATCAGGCTCACCGTCCTGGAGTCAACGCCCAGATCCGTCAGTGCGCCCGTGATGGCGGTCGGAAGGATGTTGTTAAAGGCGCCTTCTATGTCGAGGAAGGCTACTAGGGTGTGCTCCTTAAAATTAAGGGACGCTTCGATGATCGATGTGATCGAGTGTAGGGCCGTTTCGGTGGATCTTCCCTTCCGATAGGCATGCTGGGAGTCTGAGATCAGACTGGACGGAATGCACGCCGTTAGATGCAGCCCCAGGAGCCGCTCCATCGCCTTTAGAAGAAAAGACGATAGACTTATGGGTCTGAAATCTTTTGGGGCAGTGTGCGAGGGCTTGCCTGCCTTGGGTATGAATACGACTTTGGTCTGAAGCCAGGTGTCAGGAATGCACCCGTGGGAGAAGATTCCCTCGTAAATTATTTTGAGCCAGTTAATGGCTTTATGTCCCGCGTGAATCAGTTGGGCAGGGAAAATGCCGTCTGGCCCCGCGGACTTGTAGGGTTTAAAGCTTCTGATCGCCCAGGAAATGTTCTCCTGGCTTAGCAGTCTCAGGATGGCATTTGAGGCGACAGAAGGAGGCGCGAGGTAGTTGGGTCTGTTTTTATCGCAGCCAGGGAAGTGGGTATTTAGGAGAAGATTTAGCGACTCCTCGCTGGACGTAGTCCACGACTGGTCGGTGTTCTTCAAGTAGCCCAGGGTGGGTGTTGTCTTCGAGAGAACTCTGCGCAAGCGTGAGGCTTCTGAGTTACTCAAGAGTTCGCTGCAGAACTTACGCCAGGAGGCGCGTTTGGCTTTTCTAAGTTCTTTGTTGTAGGTTGACAGACTGGCTTTGTACTCGGTCCAGTTTTGCTCAACGTTTTCAGCCTTAGCTTTATTGAAGAGTCTCCGGGAGGCTTTCCGGAGTTCACCCAGTTTCGGATTCCACCATTCAGGTTTCTTCCGGCCTCTGTTCTTGCCAGAGGGGCATGCTTTGTCGAGCGCCTTATTGCAGGCGTCGGTAAAGATCTTAAGAAGACGAATCGTGGCCTCCGTGGAGAACTCCTCCTCAGATGGGGGCTCAGGGAGAACACGACAGAGGTAATCAGAGTACCGAGTCCAGTTTGTCCGCCTGATGTTCCGGAATCGGACTGGCTTCGGCACTGAGAAGGAGAAGACAGTTTCCACGTACCTGTGGTCCGAGAAGGAGTGCTCTTCCAGGACCCTCCAGGATACAATGTTACGCTGTATCTCATGAGAGGGAAGCGTGAGGTCCAGGACCTCCTTGCGGTTTTTAATAATAAAGGTGGGATCACTACCCCGGTTTAATAAGACCATCTGAGTGGTCAGTAAGTAACTGAAAAGGTACTCACCCCTTTCGTTTGTGTCAGTGCTTCCCCACTGACAGTGATGTGCATTGGCATCGCACCCCACTATTAGGCCGATGTCCTTGGCCGAGCAGTCTGCGATTAGAGCCCGGAAAGGCGCGTGTGGAGGGGGGTCTGGTTGTTCATGCCCCATGTATGCGGAGCAGATCCTCAGTGAGCGCTCCTGGCCTTCGAGGCTCACTGCGGTGTGGTCTTCATTGCTGAAATTTGGGAGCAAAAATAAGTGCAACTCTCTTTTTGCAAGAATGCAGGTACGAATTTTACCTGCGGTTTCAGCTACGTATAGCTTGTAGTCAGAAGTCCTCAGACCGGAGACCCTGTTTCGGAGGATCCAGGGCTCCTGAATGAGGACTATGTCGGCTCCACCCTTGGCCAGGTTGAGCAGTAGAGCAGCGCATGCTGCCTTACAATGGTGGAGGTTTATCTGCAGGATCGTCAGTGACATTCCTGAGTCTCACCTCCACCATTGTTGCTTCTAGATCGCTGTCGGGGGAATCTGGCTCCTCCCCGACAACGATATGGCTGAGACCTCTAGCTAGGTCGCACTCGTCGAACGCGTAGTCGTCCAGGATGTCGTCCGACATCCGACATCCGACCAGTAGGAACCGGTCCGGGAGCTCGTTCTCCACCAGGTGCCACTTATCGCGAGGGACATGGCCGTCCTCGGCGCCCCTGTCCAGGACACCGATCAGGGTCTTGCCCCTCGCCACCTCAGCGAACGACCGGTTCGTGAGGTGGGTCTTCACCCGCTTGGCTTGCTGGGCTTGGCCTGGCTGATTTGCGGGGTCCTCCGCTGAGCGTTGCCGCTTGTTGGGGGCCTTGGCTGCGCCCTTTCCGGCTTTGGCTGGCTGGAACAGTGGAAGGATTGAGGAGGCCCACAGCCTCTGCTCCTTTCCTTCGGCTGACGCCCTGAAGTTCGGGTCTTCGTTGGACAGGGTGAAAGCCGCTCGTCTCCTGTCCTGGTACGACGGCTTTCCTCCCCGTGGTGCTGAGACGCTGCCCGCCGGGGCTCCCATGGGTTCTTCGGTCCCGGTGCGCTTACCAGCCGCGATTCCGCTCTGCTTGGCAGCCACCCCGATATCCGCTTCGCCCTTGGAGCCACCCGACTTGGAAGGACCCGATTGGCTTTTCGGGCTTCCCCTCGCTACGGCTGCTGCCTGAAGACGGTGGACCGACTCAGTCTCCTTCCCAGTCTTCTTTGGACCCGGTTTCCCAGGCGCTGGTGCAGAGGGATTGGCTTGTCCCTCCGGTACTTTAAGAGGAGTACCGAGCTCCTTTGCGGTTTTGTTGGTTTTAATATTTTGAGTATTTGACATAGTAGTTCCCACGAGTAGGCGGGAAGGGGATTTTTTTTACAAAAAAAATTGCTATGGTAATGGTGTCAAATTTATGTTAATGCATCACTAAACCATCAAGTTGTTTCCTTTTGCAATTAAAATTTTTGTTCTGTATAAATAGCCGTTTACTTTTAATATCAGCGAGGAAAATTTTTCCGTTTTGAAGCACCAATTTATGTGGTTGCAAAATTAAATGAAAATATTTTTTGAAAATGAAAGCCGGAGCAGGCCTGAACATGAAAATTTCTCCATTATAGCTGTACGACATTACACTTTGCTAAATTTGCTGCGAAGAGATACATATGTATGTATGTAGTACATAGATAGCATGTTAGACAAAACGAACGAGGGGGAACGTTGTGAGTTGCTGCGGACACCGCAACTCTACAGTTATACCCGATACTAAGTCAGTATGGCTCTCCTCCGGCAGATGCCGCTAATATTAAACGACACGACAAAGAATGCGTGCGAGAGAGACAGAAAATCAGTCTGAGCGTGACGTCGGTCGCTGCGTAGCCACTGCAATTGATTTCTTGCTTTTGGCTACAAAAATGATCCGATCTGATCCAGATTCAGCAATCTGATAGATATGGTCGTTCTCTATGATTCTGTGTTTTTAGTTTTCTCAAATCTGCAATATTGAGGATGCAACAGATTTTCGTCCTTTGTGGGGGCGGAAGGGGGCGGGGCGAAATTCTGAGATATAAGTTTTATAGTGAGATCTAACAGCAGAGTGAGTTTAGAGTGATCTAAATTTGGTTACTCCAGGCTTAATAGTCTCTGAGATTTGTGAATATCCCCAGATTTGCATCCTTTGCGGGGGCGGAAGGGGGTGTGGTGAAATTTTGAAACAAACTCGTCTCGGTCCGATATATTAGGAGTGTGGACACCAAATTTGGTTGCTCTAGCTTTTATAGTCTCTGAGATCTAGGCGCTAATGTTTTACTCTAAGCAAAGCCGCCTATGCTACGTGTGTGTTAGAGAGAGACAGGGCGAGAAAAAATGAAATTGTTTTCTTGATGCTGGCTATAATAATAATACGATCTTGCACTCTATAAGATACAGTCATTCTCTACGATTCTGCGTTTTCTCGTATCTTTAAAATTGTGGATGCCACAGATTTTCGTCCTTTGTGGGGGCGGGGCAAAGTTTTGAAATATTTTTGTAGCAGTGACATATCACAGAAGTCTGGATCCAAAACATCGTTGCTCTAGCTCTTATAGTCTTTGAGCATTAGGCGCTGAAGGGGACGGACAGACGGACTGACGGACAGACGGACAGACAGACATGGCTCAATCGGCTCGGCTATTGATGCTGATCAAGAATATATATACTTTATGGGGTCGGAAACGATTCCTTCTGGATGTTACACACATCCACTTTTACCACAAATCTAATATACCCCAATACTCATTTTGAGTATCGGGTATAAAAAGTAGTGGACAACTGGACAACCAACTGTACGCATATAGATACATACATATGTATATCTCTATATCTATTTCTGTTTTTGCAGCTAGTCAATGTTGGAAAAGTTTAATGTCTTAAAGATATTAGCAATTTCCAATATATTTCATTCATTTGGCGGTAAAACAGCATTCAAATACATTTTTAAATAAAAATCAAAAGGTTTCCCTTCAAGGGTCTTACAAACTATGGCGAAATAAGTTCTTAAGTGAAGAAGTTATGGGTTTTCCTCTTAGGTGTGGCGACAGGATATTCTACATCTTCTCGTAGGATTCGGTGTAGGGACAGGTGAGGCAGGTGTGCGTATACTCGTCCTCTTCCTCATTGTAGGTGTCCGGCCCGAATTCGTGCTCGTGTATGGCATGCGTTTTCTTGGTATAAATGCTGCTGCGGACCTCCATGCGGAGCTGCTTCATCTGTTTGTTGTACTTCCGGGCCTTTCCTACCTCACGTTTCTCTTCCCGTCCCTCGTGTTGACGGACGAGCTCCTCCTCACTGCCCCACACCTCCATGGCCCGTTTTTGCACCTGCGAGTGCAGGTAGAGCTTCATCTCTCCCCAGCGAACATTATGGGGATTCTTGCGGCTAATGTAGCGCAACGGCGGTTCGCGCTTGTCAAAGTCACAATCTTTCAGAAGATACTCGGCCTTGGCTTCAGTGCGGGTGATGAGCGAGTGGCGCTCCTCGGTGTCCCGGCACTTGTCGCACACCGAGTGTCCAAAATTATTAAACAGATATGAGTCGACAAACGGATCGCCGCAATCGAGGCACTCCTCGTACACCACCGGTATAGCAATGGCATCGTCCACGATAGTTGGAACTGCGCCATCCTCTGGCTTTTCTGTAGCTCCCGCCGCGGGCAACACAGGCTGCTCCAGCAGAAAGCCTCCGCCACTGTCGATGTATTTGGTGCCCTGCACCTTGATAACCGAGGTGCCCTGACTCGGCCCTTCCTCTAGTTGAGTATCGCCAAGGTTTCTACAAAGAAATCAAATGGAGAGTAAGCTCTGCGATGTTAGCTTACGAAGGTAAGGTCAAACCTACTTGCCGAGTTCCCTATAAGGATGCGAGACGAGTTTGGCCTCTCGCAACTTCTGGGCCTTGGCCAGATTGCGCTCAATGCGTGACTTCTGGGCTGTGGTAAGAGTGGAGGGGGCTACCACCACTGCGGCTGTTTCCTCTGACATTTTGCCACAACAAATTCTTTTCGGGCGCCAAGCAACAAAAAATTCCAATTCGTAAACTATTTCTCTACTTTTCAGTGTGACCCTCAGAAATATACCGTTTTATTTTTAAAATATACTGTAAATATACCGATGAAAAAAAGAACTTAGCCCACTTAATCCCCCTTTATTTAAACAGTTCAACGACTTGAGGTAAATGGCGGAAGATATTACTGATTGTAAATTCTTCTTGCAGATCCATGCCATCTTTCCTCTGAACTTAAACAAAAAAAGGAAACACGATATCTTTCACCTTAACTGCGCTAAAATGATTCAATTTTCAATCGTTCTCCGTCAAGGATTGGAAACTATATTCCTTGATTTTGAGGATTTTGTTTTGTAATAGTCGCAATGTTGTCACATCAATGTTGTTGGTAATTGAAGACTTGTTGCTTATCAACCGGAGTATGGGCATTTGTATACCCTATTTCGTTAATTTAATATTAAGATACTGTATTCCAAACTAATTTTCAAATATAATTAATACAAAAATTTAACCAAATTGATATGTATTAGGTATATAAACGTATTCATGGATTTGATTAGATTCCTGTACATCCTGATCCCGATACTCATTCTTGGTCTCTGTAAGAAGACCACTAATGGCAAAATATCGTTGTTAAATTATATTTAAATTAGAGGCATCTTAAAAGCTGACATGTGTTGCCTCGATAACTCAAATTATTAATATGATTGATCTAATCATCGAATACCTGAAGCATAAGTTGAGTATTTAAGTATAAAAGTAGGTTTTTTTTAATTTTTAATATTTTAACATTATAATTTTATTATATTCGTTCTTAAAGGGTTGATTTCGAACGAAAATTTGGAAAACATTGTAAACATCGATGTCCGCAAAGATCGATGTATTTCTCGCTCTAATTCACATATTTTTTATATCACAAATTACGCCCCTCTCTATCTCGCACACCTTGCAACTTATTAAATATGTATCGAATAAGATGATCAAATACTGTTTAAAATATAACAGGTACGACGGAAGGTCTTTAAATTACTTGGCCAGAAAGGGTATACCTATCACAAAGACAATTCAACATAGTATCCGGCAACAAATAAGCAAATGGAAAAGAATTTTTATTTAAATTTAGGGTAGATTAAATATATTGAGACAAAAATTCGATGTCGGCAGTGTACACCTAACCATCGATGACATCGATGTTAACATCGATGTTTTTCGAGCTCTAACTTAATATCCTCAACACTAATGTTAAATAAACATTATAAATTGCTGCTAAAATGCTCACTGGCCGTTCCCATCATATTCCTAATCGACTTCTGCGGGCTGCTGACGCATCTGCATGAGCTGGACTTTGAGCAACACTTCTACTATCCCCTGCACGATGAGGGCCTGGCCTCCTCCGGAATTTCCAGCTACGAATTTCTGCAAATGCCCGCATTCACGGGCGTGGATCCGCCCCGGTTGACTATACTGGTCAAAAGCGCAATTGGAAATGTGCGGCGACGCCAGGCTATACGCAAGACATGGGGCTATGAGTTCCGCTTCTCCGACGTTCACATCCGTCGCGCCTTCCTCCTGGGCACCTCCCCGGACAGCATGGACGATGTGGGCCGGGAGGCCAAGCAGCATGGGGACATTGTACACGCAGATTTTGTGGATGTCTACTTCAACAACACCATCAAGACAATGATGGGCATGCGCTGGGCCAGCGAGCACTTCAACCAGAGCGACTTCTATATGTTCGTCGACGACGACTACTATGTGTCTATTAAGAATGTTCTGCGGTTCCTCGGCCGTGGACGGAATACCCACCATCCGGATCTGCTATTTGCCGGCTACGTGTTTCAGACGTCGCCACTACGTCACAAGTTTAGCAAGTGGTATGTCTCGCTGGAGGAGTACCCGTTCGACAAGTGGCCGCCGTATGTGACGGCCGGTGCCTTTATCCTCTCCCGCAGCGCCCTGCTCGAGATGTACGAGACTAGCATGCGAGTTCCCATGTTCCGCTTCGATGACATCTATCTGGGCATTGTGGCGCTCAAAGCACGTATTCCCGTCCACCACTGCGACGGCTTTCTTTTCCACAGACCCCACTATTCCGGGCCCGATAGCTACAGCAACGTGATAGCATCGCACGGTTTCAGCGATCCTGAAGAAATGGTTCAGGTGTGGAACGAATGCCGGTCGGCGAACTACGCGTAGCACACGCCCCTGACTGCTACGGACAATAACCCGAGCCACTCGACTGTATATACAGATGTATTTTGACGTAGATCAAAACCAAGCCTTTTTAAAGTACATATATGTATAAGCCAAAACGTGTAAATATATTAATCGATGATCATACTCTTCCTTTTAAGCAGTAACCATCAAATAATAACTACAGTTTTGTTTCTGTCATTATTGAATCTACGACTTGTGACATTTTATTAATTACAAGTCGTGAATTCACTAGAACTCGTCCGATCCTGACGGTAACAAAATATAGATGGTAGATGGCCCTGTTTGGAAATTTATTTATCTGTCGTATAACTTTTAGGGTGTATAAGCTTCATTCAAAAGATTCTTCTATCAAAAAACAATTTGGCAACTCGAAAATTTCAAATTTTAGCCAGATAATATTAAATATATATAAAATATTAATATTATTATCGTACCTTATAGCTTATATGAACTGTCCATAAGGATAATTTACAGACATTTTCTGTTACATATACAAACGATACAATATTGTCAAGTCCAGCCAAGGACACTTGGAGTACAAATAATTAGACAAGAAAACCAAATGACAACATATATGTACATACATATGTACATATCTATTCCGCTCCAACTGCCTGCTTTCCCTATAAGGTTTTAATTGCTGGTCTCACTAACCGCTAGTTACTTCAAGTCAAGTCTATTGGAAAAAATGTATATTAGCTGCTTAGACACGATGTCCAGCTCACAGTATATTTTATTTATAATTTGCAGTATATGTTAAGACTCGTTATGGACTCAACCTCTAGTCCAATGCACCAATGTTGAAATCGTGTAGAAATGCCATTTAAAGCCATGTCAACGGACACATCAAATACTAATTCGCGGTAAATTCCCGATCGTTTGCCATCAAAATCCAAACTGTTTCAAAAATAAAAAATAATGTAACAAAGTTGTTCACACTGGCATCACTGGCTTATTTGAAAAAAACGGCCAAATTTATCAACAACATACACATTTCCCCTTCAGGTGTCGCTTTAAATAAAACAAATATTTAGTATAGGCCAGTTAAGTAGAAAATTGATTCATCAATCTTATAAAATTATGTTGGTATGTCTAAATTTTCTATATAGACGGTAATATTCGAAGAAGATCAAAAGCGAGGAATATTTTGAAAATGAGACGGTATATTTTGGTATTTATTGAATCGGGTAAGGACTTTTTTACGCGGCTGACAACAATGAGTCTCATTCCATACTTTTAAATTATGTACTTAAATTACTGTACTTGGATATCGACTTATGGTGAATATGACCCAATTATTGGAGAATATTAACACGACATATCCGGACATTCTGTCGCGGCCGTTTCCTGCCATCAGGCTATTCAGCAGGTGCTTTCCATGTTTGTTTAACGAAGCAGGGACTACTATTAAACTTGGTACTGATAAGTTAGTTTAAATATGTATTTGATATGCACCACATACATATAATATATCCATATAAACTTAGTTCTTTTAAATATACCGCCAAACTATGAACGATTAAAGCGAAACGAAATGCAAAAAATGCATACCCTAGGAAAGGATATTATAGAATTGAGAAAATATTTGTCATCACAGGCTCTATTTAATGCAGAAACTAGTCAATCTCTGTTTTAACCGATATTTTGGGATCAGGATATATATATAATACACTAATCTAATGCATGAATGGGCCAAACAAATTCAGTTTAAGACAATGTCTTTATTAATTGAAAGCAGCTTGGAAAACAGTATCTTTATATAATATTAACGAAATAGGGTATAAAAATGCACATACTCTGGTTGACAAGAAATGAGTCTGCAAATACCATAAAAGTAGTTAATCTTAAACAAATTTGATTCAGCAATCATATAAAATTATGTGGGCAAAGTTGAAAGATTTATATAGCTAGTAATATTCGAGGGAAGATCAAAAACGAGTATTTATTGGTAATAACCGGTTGACGAGAATGAGCCCCATTCCATTCACACAAAATGTTTCTGGGCATACCCTGGGGAAAATGGATGTTATAGAATTAAGAATATTTTTCTTATCCCAGGCTCCAAAGAAGGCAAAAACAATTTAGTCTCCAATGTAGTCAAAATACAATAAAAGCAAGGACTAAAAACTAGCCAATCTTGAAGAAAATTTATTCATCAACGGTTTAAAATTATGTGGGCAAACCTAAGGATTTTAGTTAGCCAGAATTATATAACGGAATCACTAAATTGAGCAATATGAACGACTATCTTACGTTTTTTTGTTTAATTTCGCTTAAACCTTTTTAAGACAAGATCCAATAAAACAAAGTATTTAGAGTAAGCCAGTTAAGTAAAAAATTGACTCATAAATCGTATACAAATATATGGGCATTGCAAAATGTTTCATCTAGCTAATAATATTCGACAGAATATCAAAATGGAACAATAGCAATGACTATCCTCTTTCGTTTTTTTTTTTTGTTTGACCATTTTCGCTAAAAGCTCTTTTTATGAAAATGCAATAAAAGCATGTGTTTAAAATAAACCAATCAAGTAGAAAATAGATTCATAAATCGTATAAAATTATGTGGGCATGGCTAAATGTTCTATATAGCTGGTAATATTTCACGGCATATCAAAAACGGCACATGTAAAATATAACTTGAATTTGTCAGTATATTTACGGTATATTTTTCAACTGAGATGGTATATTTTGGTATATTTTGGTATATTTTGGTATATTTCTTACGGTCGGACGGCATATTTTATCGATAAATCCGCGGTCACACTACCACGGAGGGCAATTAATTTTTTCAAGTTTTTAAAAGTTGATTCAAATTCAGATACAATAAAAGCAAGTGTTAAAATTAAGCCAATCGAGTAGAAAATAGATTCATAAATCGTATAAAATTATGTGGGCATGGCTAAATGTTCTATATAGCTGGTAATATTTCACGGAATATCAAAAACGGCACATGTAAAATATAACTTGAATTTGTCAGTATATTTACGGTATATTTTTCAACTGAGTTGGTATATTTTGGTATATTTTGGTATATTTCTTACGGTCGGACGGCATATTTTATCGATAAATCCGCGGTCACACTACCACGGAGCGCAATTAATTTTTTCAAGTTTTTAAAATTGATTCAAATCCAGTTTTGACGTCGTCCATCCAGTTAGCTTGTGCTCTCCGCGGCCGAATTGAATGAAAATAAATTTCTGAAATCAAGTGTAAAAATTTGCATAGTGTATACCGCTTATATATAAATATATATAGAGCAGAGCCAACCAAACCTAGCCAGATAGCTACACCTCACCGGTATCTTTTTTTTGTGAATCCAAACCAAACAAAAAACAACTTAAGGTGAGCCTAACATTTAATTTATTTTAATTCTGATCCGCCTCCGCCCCCCTCCCCTTATATTGTGGGCCGGCAATTTCTTTTCAATTCTCCTTCCATTGTGGCAGACGGCCAAAAGAAATCTGCAAGAAGAAGCCGAAGACAGAAGAGAGTAGAAAAAGCACTTAACTGGTTTTTTTTGTTGACTGCGCTTCTTCATTGATTGCAGAAATGATGAGTATGGGGAAGAGTGAGAGATTTCTCAGATTTGTTATAAATATTTATTATGGTGGTTTACCCGTTAGGTTTGGCTTTTATACCTCTCTCCCTCTCGCCCCTTGTAAAACGCAGCTGTTGAAGCGCCTTTGTCGCTGTTTCCTTTTATGTGTGTGTGTGAGGTTAAAGCTTTTCTTTTGCTCCCTCTCCCTACCTGAGCGTGCCGGCCGGCATTTTTTTACTTCGTTTTTTTATACGCCTGCTTGTATGTGTCTGCTGCTTTGGGCGGGGCGCTTTTGACGCTGCTTAATATCCTCCCCACGAAAACTACGGCTTGCGCGCAAGTCATGCACATGCACATGTGTGTGTCTCTTTTTGCGGGGCGTGGCAGCGGCGCTTGCAGTGGCTGGCTGTGCTGTCACCAATTTCAAATTTGTTATCGCAAAAAAATTATTTTAAAATGAAAAAAATTTAACAGACGGATGAGTAGGCTTTGCCGCCTGCATATACACATACATATGTGCATATTTAAAATTCACTGTGAATTTCTCTGTCGCTTATATGTATGTACATATATGTATTGATATGCATATGTACGTATATTTTTATATACAGTAGTATGTACATATTTTTGTACGTGCCGCAGGAGTTGGCGACGCTGGCTGAGGCTGATTCTGGTGGCAGCGCCGGCGAGGGTGTAAAACGGACGTGTCTGTCATTTCTCCCCTTTTTTCGAATTTCGCTCTGCGCTCTGCTGCTGCCCGTCTGCTACTCGGTGCTGTGCCTCAACTTCGCCTGGTACCTCTTCTCGCTCCCTTCTCCGTCTGGCCTTTGCCACGCATCAGCACTCTTTTGACTCATTTTGGCTTTCAAATGTGTCCAAAACTAATTTTTTGTTGGCAGCTTGGCGCCGACTCCACCTCCATGGGCTCCCCCTCGTTAAGAGCTCCAATCAGCAAACAAAGTCATAAACCCAAAAGCACTACAAGATATAAAATTAACAAAAACAGGAAAAAAGAAAGAAAGAAAGAGAGTTGGAAAGAGCGCTGTGAGCTGTGGAAAGCTGACAAAAGACGGCTGGAAAGAAGCAGCAAAAGAGAGTGTGTGGGCAGAGCCAGAGCACCGGCAGCAACAACAGCAATACGAGCTGGCAAACCGCAGCAGCAGCAGCGGTGGCGGCGGCGTGGCGACAACGACAGAGCCGGCAATGGCAATGCCAACGGCAAACGTCGGCTGATGATTCATCGGTCGCTTTAAGCGGGGCGACCATATTTCGAAGTTGGCAGTTGATTCACGGCAAACTTCATCCTATCCACCCCGTCTCCCCACACCACACATCACCATTCCAATCAACTCATTTTGTATGTATGCAGAGTTGCATGTTGATTCTCCTTTGTTTTGCTGCCTGCCAAGGAGCTGACTAATACGAAACCCCGTTTATGTGATGTCAATTAATCGACGGCAAATCGCTAACGATTTCAATGGACGATCAGCATTTAATAGTTCACGATCAATTGGTAATCATGATCAGATGGCTACGCATAAACAATCTCAGAGACTTGAACTGTGCTTGTGCAATGTGAGGATTGCGCAGAGAGCGCTCCCTCTCCCACAATAATTGCATACTTTGTATCAATTGTAATTGTCGCAAAAAGAGAGAGCGAGAGAGAGAGAGAGAGAGAGCGATAGAATAGGCAACCCCGTATAGATACACCTTGGTTGAGCTTAGCTTGGGGGAGTGGAGTGGGTTGGATTGAACTTTTGGAGTGGCGCAGAGAACTGAGGTGAGGTGCCTTGCCACAGGAGGCCGTTAGTAGTAGTCAATCCACAATGATTGGCTATCCGCTTTAGGCGCAGCTTTAAGACCATTTATGGTCTGTAAATGCACAATACATACATAGAAATATACACATGCATACATACATACATATATGTATAGAGATTTGTTGGTTTTGGTGCGGTCGCTGCCCTTGTAACGCTTGCAGCTGTTCAATTATCGGGATGCAGAAGCAATACTACTTTGATGACTTGATTTCGATATTGATGAAAGGCGGACAAAGCAAATTCTTTGTGGAAATAATAATGCTGATAGCGGACATGAGTGAAGCATGGGTTGGGGCACGCACACTGGGACCCTGGGACCAAGGGGACCTTTAGTTCGAATTTTGCAACTAAAAATAAACGTGATAAAATGCAATTTAACAGCCCGACCACGGCCTCGGTTTCAGCCCCAACCGAACGGCCAGCATTCTTCAAGAACGTTCTCCGTAACGCCCTGATAACGGCGGCCAGAGAATAAAACAAAAGAAATACGAAAGAGAACCGAACCGAACCGAACCCGAACCCCAGTCATGAGTCGAATTTGAGTTTAATCTCTTTCCCCGCTTGATGACGATGACGAAAGGTTCGCTGAACTCATTCTTTGCTTTTACCCTGTTCCTCTCCTCTTTAGTGCTGGATTCCTGATAGGAACCCCACGCACACAATCACAAAATAACGCAAATTGCAGTCCTCTTCATTCTCCTCGTCCTTTGATCATGACTCATCGGTTATCGGTTGACAAATTCATGATTAATATATTGTTTTGCAATTTTATTACAATCTTTCGATGGGGAAATCGTAACCGTAAATCAACGGTAAACAAAGAAATGTCTTCTACGAAAATGAATAATGTATTTATTAAAGCGCAGAAACAAACAACTTGCTATCAATGTTTGTTTCCGCCTAATCGAACTGGCTGATATCCTCTTCCGCTCGAAAAGAAGAAAAGAATGTAAGGAATGAAGGGAGAATGGAATAGAAACGTGTTTCTAACCCGATAAGTCTAACCATATGGTGCATCTGTCTGGAAATCTGAGACCATAGCAGCGGCAATCACAGCAAAGATAGAGAAACAGATGTGGTATCCAGAATTCAAAAGTTAGTGGATGTGATATCAACCGATTCTATCCAGTTTGCATACACTTAATGCACATGCACTTTTCTCGGTTACAAGTTACTTTAAATTATATCCTTCACAGCTAAGAAAGCTAATCTCAGTTCTCTTAAGACGGATAAAGAGGGCACAATAGATCTTTGAATTCGAGTATGTTAAACGTCCCTGAAATATGCATATTTATATACCCTTTCCTATTGCTCCCTCGCTAATTTTTAACAAAAATTGTACCCTTTCAGATGGCATCCACAGCCCCAGCACTTAAGGATCTGCCCAAGGTGGCCGAGAACCTGAAGAGCCAATTGGAGGGTTTCAACACGGAGAAACTGAAGAATGCCAGCACCCAGGAGAAGATAATTTTGCCCACAGCCGAGGGTGAGTTTGGATAGTAGGTTAGATCTCGATAAAAGAGAAAAACTGAGGGGAGCTCTTTCGAACAGATGTGGCTGCCGAGAAGACCCAACAATCGATCTTCGAGGGCATCACTGCATTCGATCAGAACAACTTGAAGCACACCGAGACCAACGAGAAGAACCCGTTGCCCGATAAGGAAGGTGAGTGTCAGTGTGTCTGTCTGGCTGTCTGTCTGGCCATATTCTGCTCTGTTTGGACACCATCTGTTGTTGGCCATAAAACGATATTGGCCCGGCCTTGCCGCTGCCATAGCGGTTGTTTCTCGTGTCTGTCTGGCTGGCCAAGCGGATTGCCATAGTTGGTGAATGCAACTAATGTGCGCTCTATTTCTCTGTTGTTCGATTGCAGCTATTGAACAGGAGAAGGAGAAGAATCAATTCATAGCCGGCATCGAGAATTTCGATGCGAAAAAGTTGAAGCACACCGAGACCAACGAGAAGAACGTGCTGCCTACCAAGGAGGTCATCGAGGCCGAGAAGAAGGCCTAAGCCAAAATGGCAGGCGCATCCAGCATTGCCAACTACGTTGCATCTCTCTTAAGCGCATACAAAAACACACACACTCTCACACTCACACACACACACTATACGTATATATGTTTTTTTTTCCTTTTTCCATTTGCTAAAACCATCAAAACGAACATTCAGTTCAGGCTAACGTACATACGAGTAATAGAAGGAGAACCCACGAAGCACAGACTCAAGCCGCCTCATTCGCCGCCATCCATCAGAAAAGCTCCACAATAACTTGAACAATTACCGGAATGGCATTGCCAGTCATTGCAGCGATGGTTGGTGGGGGGAGAGAGAAAGAGAGAGCGAGAGAGAGAGAGAGAGAGAGAGCTTGCAACACAGATCGTGAGACTGTTACTGTACCACATCCAATAAATTATTGTCTGCCTGCTTGAAAAAGTATTTTTTTTATTATTATTTTTTTACATGTATGTATTTTGGTTTTCTCTTTGCAAATTGTATTATGTACTAACAAAGCTGCCGATGCCGCCGTAGCCGTAGCCGTCGCCGCTGTTGCTGGCAACACAGTGTCTCATTCCTACAAACGTATTTAACATTAAACATTCGTCTATAAAAAAGCCCCCTCCCCCTATAAATATATATTTGTGCATAATTGTTTCCAAAACACACGAAAAAACCACTTACTTTACTCAAATGAAACGCAATAAGAGAAACAAAACAAAAGGAAACATATGAGAAATACTTTTTAAAAGGCATGAAAACCACACACGTATGAAGCGTATAAAACGAAACAACTAGTATGGAAAACGATATAAGACAAAAGCAAACATTTTTATAAAGAGTATGTGTAATTTTTTAATGAACTTTTTTTTATATACTTTACATATGATATATTTATACTGGAAAAACAAAAATAAAACCATAAATATAACATTTTATAACAAAAACGTATTCAAAATAATGGTTTCTTTCTTTATCGGGCGGCGAATTTGAGTGGGGTAAAAAGAGTACAATCTTGGAGGCACTTGCTTTCCATTCGTTAATCAATCGATTAGCTGTCGATAACATTGACAAAATTTCAAACATATTTATAGATTGGCCGATTGCGTGAATTAAACATTTATCACCCGTTCATGGTCACCTATCCTTCTGATTGGTCGATTCCATGGAAACTGTGATTTTTCTTTTGTTCAATCGGAAGTCTGGCCTCTTCTATATATATCTATTTAAATGATATACTGTTCCGATATTGATCTAACAGATCCGATGTTCCTTGTAATCCGATTTATGTCGACGGCTTATCTCTATTAATATCTATAAAAATTTTGGGTCGTTGTGGTCCCGTAGTTCCCCCCCATGGCTGGTGTTCTTGCCCACTAGTATATTAATATTATTATATATATTTATATTTAATATACATATATGCTATATATAGAACTGTCTGCAAGGGTACAAAAAAGGAGCAAATATTACTATATATAAGAGTACATATATGTATATTTTTCATAGTAATTATACAAACCCCTCCAGAGAAGAGGGTATCAGTGGAGGCGGAGAGTCAAATTTAATGCATTTTCAAGGAGATTATAACTTCATTAACTCTCCGTTGCCGGTTCATCCGCTTCCATAGCTGTGGGTGTTGTCGCTTTGGCCTCTATCTCTGCGCCATTAGCCCCATTCTCTGCGGCGGATGCTGCTCCTGCTGCTGCTGCTGCTGCTGCGGCGGCCGCCTTCTTGGCCTCCTCGTATTTGTTGACCTCAAACTTGCTGAGATCGGCGCCGAGCAGACGGAGGATGTGAATGGTCTCGTCGCGATCGACATAGGCCCGCAGGCTAGAAGTGCCGCGCCATCCAACCACGAATAGGGTGAACTGTTCGTCCACGTACTTCAGGATGCAGCTGCCCACGCCTAGAGCAAAATGTCAGAAGATGGAGATTACAAAATTCTGCGACATAAGTGGTTATTCGGCTTACCGAGCTCACTGCAGCGGTCCTGGGTGGCCTGCTTCAGTTCGTGGGTCGAGGGCGGTTTCGTGGGATCGGTGCAGTTAAGCAGCCGGACCAGATCGTCGCGATGGATCTCGATGCGACGACTGCTGCCCATGAACGCGTTGGAGGTCTGCAAACCCTCTTGTGCTAGCCGATATGGATGAACCGTGTGGCGGTTCTCGCAGCGGACAAATGTCTTTACACCTGTGTTTATAATCTTGATGTTGTGCTCGTTGTTCACCACCAGCTTCCGGATGGGCTCCGAGCAGTAATAGATGTTCTTTTTCTTCTCGGTGACGCAGCGGGTGAGGAGACAGCGCTTGCTGAGCGACTCGTCCAGCTGGTAGAACTCCTTGATGGCATTGTAGTCGGCATCTTCCTCTCCAAAGAACACATACGGATCCTCCTTATACCCATGGAGTCGTTTTCGCTTCCGCTGTGGTCCCCACGGCACGTTCTTCGCCTCGATGGGCTTGCCGGACTCGTCGAGTTGGGGCTCTTCGACGGCAGTTTTAGCTGCTTTCTCCACCAAGTCTTGCACATCGTTCTTCTCGAAGCTGAGCTGGCGGCGCTTAACGATGACGGCCACAAAGAAGCCGCCGGTGTCCTGCAGATGCGGCAATATCCGCATGCACTTGTTCAGGTTAATCTTGGCCATGTCCTCGGCGGGCAGCGGGAACATGGCTGGACGGATGATGGTGTGCAGTGTCTCCGGTACCTCGTCGAAGCTTGTGTATACAGTATCCACCTCCTTGGTGGCCAGTTTCCAGTCTGTCATGCCGGGATTGTACTTCAAGCCGGGCACTAGGTGACCAGCATCCACCAGCTCGAGGGCTCCATCGGCATCCTTCAGAATGCGCTGCAGCACAGCCTCGTTCTCAATGGGATTGAGAGAGCAGGTGGAATAGACCAGGCGCCCACCCACCTCGAGCATCTCGGCACCGCGACGCACAATGCGGTACTGTATCCCATGAAGGTTGTAGGCCTGGGCCAAGTTCCACTTGGTCCAGATATCGGGATTCTTTCGGAGCGTACCATCTCCGGAACATGGGACATCACAGAGGATCTTGTCGAACTTGAGAACGGACTTGGCACCGTCCTCGTTGCTCTGCAACAGGTTCGGAAAGATGCTGCTGTCGTGGTTGGTCACCAGCAGGCAGGGCGAGTTCAGACGCTTTGCCTGGTGAACCAGCATGTAGCAGCGATTATTGTCCACATCGTTGGCCAGGACAAACCCGGGCGGGATCTTGTGCTCCTCGGGCGAGGCGTGCAGGGCTTCGATAAGCTGGGCCGTCTTGGAGCCGGGCGCAGCACACATATCCAGGACCTTGTCCGTGGGCTTCACGTCCAGCACAATGGGTGGGATCATAGAGACGGCCTCCTGACGACTGATACTTCCCGCCGTCGTTTCCACAATGAGAAAGTTGTGCAGCCGGTAAAGAGGCTCTGAGCGTCGAATGTCCTTGCGCGTGAGTTGCAGCTGATAGGCCATCCCGTTGGGATACCAGGGCAGGCACAGGGGTCGCTCCACTTGCTCTGGCGGCTTTTGGTGTAGTTCCGCCACCGCGCGCACATATTCGGTGAAGAGCTGCGTCTCGATGATGTTCAGCAGGGCCTTCGCCTCGCCCTTGAAACCCGTCACACGAAACGTGGTTGGCAGATTGTCGCGAATGGATTCGAGGAACTGCGTCCATTCCTCCTCTGTGTGGCAAATCTTCTGTAGGTGATAGTACTTGATGAATGATATATTGTCGCGTTTGGTCTCCTCGTAAGGCTCGGAACGCCGATCGGGGCGTTGTGGACCCTGAATCACAGTAATGGGAATTACAGAAAAAAAAACTATAGTTTTAAGAGAAAAATTGATGGAAAAGGCTACGTACGTTTTCGCGCTTTTGGCGTTTTCGGGCCGCAAAGGGATTCTGTTTCTTTCCACGCGCCATTGTCAAAGAATTTCTTCGTGCTAGTCCAAGTATATGAAAAATTATGAACAAATATTTATTTTTCAGGCGCCCACAGTACGAAACAGCCGGCAACACGTGTTGGATTGAAGTCTGGCAGCACTGTCTAGGTGGCATAGCGCTGCCAGAATATGTTCGATAACTCAATAATGGTGACAAGGTACTATAGTGAGGTAAATATATATTAGTTTCAGCCTTTATTATAATCATTATAATCATTCTTTATCAGTATAATACCCCGCTTAAAGTTATATTTGGATATGATCATCAAACATTGAAAATCATCCCGAGTGACGTCACAGTGTAGCAGAATGCGCCACCTTCTCTCATTTGGTTGTATTTGGAGTAATCGAAAGCGCATTTCGATAGCACAGTCACCATTTTCAAAAAAGTCGAATCCAAAATGGAATCATCATTCTTAGCTGCAAACAATGGTCTCGAAGATATACAATATTTAATACATCTGGAAGCCATCAAGCGATTCACCGAAGACAACAAGAACGTTCAGCGCAATGTGGAGGAGCACGCGCGTAACTGGCTAGACGCCAAGTGCGAGTACCAAAGCCACTACCAGCGCTTGGTCGGCATTGCGAAGTGCACCCTGCTGCGGAACGCCGCAGACGCTCAGAAAAGCGTTTCTCTTGATCAGGCCCCCCCATGTATAGCCAGCGATGTGAAAATGTTGGCATCAAAAATTGATAGCGACAAAGAACCCACGATGTTAGACCAACAGACCATTGAGCAGTGCAGAATCAAGCTGGAGACGGGCCACCGAGCGCGCTCCCAACTTAGAAAGCAGCAGCAAAACTGTGCCGACAATCACGAGGCCCTCAAGTCGGTGCACGCGTCGGTGGAGCTTGTGGAGAACGGTCTGGAAGCGGCTATTCTTCAGGCACTGGACAATCCGGTCAGTGAGCTACCGCCGAGGGAATCGGGCAAGAATGTTGACTCGTCATAAATATATTTGGAATACATGGATTCTTTGTACATTATTAAAAGCGTAACAGATAAAAACTATTATTTACGAACTACAAGGCTTCCAGTTAGTCTCTTGCGGGGCTCGGGGCATGCCAGCGCTGGTCAGGTCAGTCCTGCGGCGGGTAGCCGGCTCAAGCGACCACGCTGTGGCTGGGTTAATAGCAATAGCAGGCCATCTACAATGAATTTACAAATATTATAGCTAGGTGTAAGCGAGCGTTGCATGGCAGGGTGAGAGGTTGGGTTACCATTTGGAGCGCTTGGACCAATCCTTGGGGGTCCAGTGCAGGCACTTGGAGTCGATGCGAATTTTGCGTTTCTCCATGGCGCGATGATGCTGCTCGATGGTGTCACGATTGATGCAGACTATATACTGCCCCTTATAGTAGTTGATGAGATTAAGGTTTTGCAATGTTGAGATCACGTCCTCCTTCTTGATCGAAGTACACTCGCAAATGTCGCTGGGGGTGGAGCAGCCGATTAGCAAAAGAAATAACAGAATAATTGAATGGAACATACTTGATCGTTATAGTTGGCTTCTCGCCTTCAGTGCTGGGATTCTGACTAATGAATATCTCCAGTATTGTCTGGGCCCAATATGAGCGATATGAGAGCAGTCCCAGGTCGGACAGCGGCTTCTCTGGCGAGCCTGTCTTGCCTTCGAACTTGGACAGCTCGTAGCTGAACTCGATGAGCAGCTTGCCATAGCCTTTGCGCTGATACGGCGGCATTGTCAATATGCAGGCCACGTTGTAGTCCTCGGTGCTTTCCTTTTCCTTTGAGAAATAGCCGACAATGTGGAAGCCGCGCGAATCGAATTCAGTCATAATGTAGAACAGAAATGGATCTGTGTCGTAGTAGAGCGTCTTGTGGTCCAAGAACAGCTTGGCCAGCAAGCAGAGATTCTGTGCGTACACCTTGTTTTTGCGTCCATCGATTTCGAAGAAGGAGATGGTCTGCTTGCGGTAAATCTCATTGCCCGGCGGATGACGAAGATTGCATTTGGACAGATGACGCTCCAGGCACTTGCGACTCTTGCAATACTTGAGGCAGAACTCACAGATGTAGATGCATGGCATCTGGCAGAGCTCCTGTGGATAGGGCGAGAAGTACCAGGGCTTAATGCGGTGGCGGCCCAGCTCGATCATTTCCACGTTCTTCATGCGAGTGACCACATCGTCCTGGTGTGTGACCATGCTGCCCGACTGCCTGGGCGTGGGAATCTTGCCTTCCTGCGACCCATCGCCATCTTCAATGGGTGCGGTGGGAATCAGACCATCACCTGTCACATGCAAAGGTGTGGCAACCTGAGCGTTTGGTGTTTGTGGATGCTGCGGCTGTTGCGACGGCATGTGGTGGCCATGGGTGTTGCCGTGAACCCTGCGCCTCCTATTGAAACGCTTCTGCAGAGCAGCAGCCAGGACATTGTTGCCGTTGACCAACTCTCCACCGCCTACGGTGCCACCTGTAGTCACTACGGCACCGCTGACTACGCCTCCTGCAACGTTAGCTCCTCCACTACCAGTGACACTGCCGCCAACGGTAACGCCAACGCCAACGCCTCCGCCACCACCACCGGCACCGGCACTGCCAATGCCAGCAGCCCCTGCGGAGCTGATTCCAATGCCCGGATGCTGGGGCGAAGTGGGACGCGACACACTACCGGCCAGAGAGTGATGGCGCTGCGGAGTTGTTACGCCTGTGCTGGTGCCAGTCTGAGAACCATCGCGACGGGGAAACTGCACCTTTCTGGTGTACAGATCTTCCTCGTTGACCCATTCGTCTAGGCGCTTGTTGACTGTCAAGATCGGTTAGTTTTTCCTCTTCTCGCTTCGAGAAAATTCCAATTACTTACAGTCTACATAGTGGACATAAAACTGACGCCGACCGTCCAGCTCCTTGATGCTAACGATCTCTGCCAAGGGCCAGTCATCCGTCTTGTGCATACGCACCGGCAGGCGGCAGCCCTCGGTCAATGCAGCCTGAAAAAAGGGGTACCCCATGAATGAGAGACACCAAGTGCAGGGAAATAGGGGGGCTTACCGTCGACTCGCATATTGATGCGACGTCGTCGTCGAACTCGTATTTGTTATTAATTTTCATTTGCCCCTGTTATTATTACACACTCGTATATTTTGGTGCAATTCAAGAAATTTAAGAACACAAGCAACTTGCAAATATGCAAAAAGCAAAAAAAAGGGTTGCCAGGTAATGAAAATATACCGATATTTCATCGATGTATTTTGTGAACACATCGAGTATTGATGTTTTCCCGCTAAAAGAATCAATATGCAAATAATTTCATCAATACTGACAGTAAATATTTAACAATTTAATCAATTTAAGTTTTTTTTTAATAAATCTACATTCCTTTTAAGCATTCCAATATCAACAAACGTAGGTATGGTATAAAAAGGCGATAGTTTCGAATGAGTTGTGACATCACAGTTTATAAATATCGATGCTGCCGACACTTGCAGTGTTGCAAAAAGTTGGAAAAAGTGTTGCTAACGCAACAGCGTAAAATTGTTCTTTTCTAAATTTTTCATGTGCTGTGCGATGAAACAAATCCTGTTGTGCATGCTACAAACAGTTGCATATTGCATTTACAATCAAATATTTGTGCATTTTGACCTTTCTGCCACAATGGCAATTTGCAATTTCAGTGTATAAATGCCGTTTTACTTGTAATGTTCAAAGAGAAGGTCAGAAAAATGTACACAGTTCTGTGTAGTAGCAGCAGTGCATAGATTGTAGGCATACCTGCGCTCCCAAGTGTAAGTGTGTGCGTGTGCGCATAATGTTATACAGCTGTCGCCGCCTATCGTGTGTATCAGTGAATAACAAATGTGATAAACAAAAAAGTGCATTGTAAGCATTGTTAATGCATTCACATACACGGCCCAATCATATATATGACAACATATGTATACATACTAATGAAAAAAGGCGCATTCCTTTTCAATTGCAAAAAAAACCTGTGTGGCAAAATGACGTGTTTTGCGCTGGTGTTGCCACTGACAACAGCAACAGGGTTGCCAACTAGCGTGCGCAACAAATCGCAAGCTAAGCTAAGCTATCCGCAGCGAATAATCTGACAATATCTGATTAAATATTACGCGCTTAACAAACAATGAATAAATCGAGTCCTATAGCCCCGGGATAATCTTCGTCAGTAGTATTACGTCCATAAAATTCGCCCATAAATGGAATGCCGTTGCACTGGCAACGCCAGTTATCATTCAGTAGCTTGACAACACTAGTTGGCTTGTATGGCAAAAAAAAGGAACAATTTTTTTACGAATTGTGAAGCTACCGACGAAGACGAGGCCGCCTAAAAAGGCAACCATAAGAATTGTCAAGTAATTAACGATACAAATGTTTCATCCCATGCTTTTTCTGTGCAGTGTTTTAATTCTACGACCCAGCCGTTTAACTGTCATCCGATAAACCCAAGCAAACAACAACAGCAGGAGGCATCAACCGACACTCTGCAACATTTTGTTGCAGCACAAGTGCATTGTCGCACATTTGATTGCCGCATATCTCACTTTACACACAAGAACTAATAAATGTATTGTTGAGTCAACGTAGATCTGCGAAAATAGGACAGTTGGCCGTGTTTTAAAACAGTGTGTGGTTCGGCGCCACAGCGAGCGAGTTGTTCGGTTATTTTTTTGTGTGTGGCTTGACAAGTGCAAAAGCAGGAGGAGTAGAAGTCAATACGCAATAGGAGGGCAGCGCCCCTAAACTATATTATTTGAAATCGACAATAACTAACGGAAGACCAACAGAAGCGGCAGCATCGTTAACTAGCAGAAGCGGTGGCGTCCGCAAGGCGCTGGCCAGCTGTGAGCTTCCTAGCTAATACCGTGGGGAAGAGGAAAAGCAGAGCCACCCACCAGCAGCAGATAAGCCCAACACCGGGCAACAGTTCGTAAGTATGGTTTGGCTATGGGCAGTAACTGAATCCCTGGCCTTGACTACGACCACGACCACAGACCCCGGGTCGCACATACTAACCATCATGGCATATATGTGTATTTTGGCTCTCTACAGGTTCGGGAAATTTTTGATGGCATTTGATTGTTTCGTCACCTGGTCGCCCTGTTATATGCCACCCAAAAGATGAACAATGAACAAAAGCCAGCATCACCAGAGACATCATCATCCACAACACAACCATCCACAACCTCATTTGCAACCGCTTCTGGTGAGCGATCTGCAGAGCGCTTGGCTGCAGCCAATAGTAAGATACCATCCATTATACTCCATACGCCCATTGTATCAATTGCGTCTGGGACTATGAGCAAAAGCACTACCACTACAACATCGACAAAGACAACTCCGACCGCACATAGCACAGAAGAGCTGTTAGAAGCAATGGCAAATAATTTGGCAAAACACGACAGCGTGCCGGTGCAACGTGACGATGGGAGTATCGGGTTTCGTGGCCAGAAAAAAGCAGCGTCTACAAATACGAAATCCACATCAAAGTCAGTGACAGATAGCGATAAGAGGAAGTCATACTCCCCCCCAATCAGTGGCAGCAACAGTACCATTAACAGTCATAACAATCCCAGTGGCAGTGGCAGTGGCTGTGGCATTGGCAGCGATAGCTCCACCACTCCCATACCATCGTTATCAGCGTCAACGTCAGCATCAGCGTCAGAGGTCCTGTCAACTTCCAGTAACATAACGACTCCTGAAGAAGCAGGGGCCGCCAACTTCGTCTACTCATTTCTTGACGATACGTCAAAGCTGGAAGGACCCACACGCAGGCGCCTGCAGTATGGGGTGGGAGCGACGGGTAAAACCCAGGATGATCAGAATGTGGGAAAGCGACAGAAAAAGAAAAAGGTGAGTGCAGTACACGGAGAGACATGTATCCATCATCATCATCTTTGTATCCTTCAAAAACCCCAAACCCACTCCGTCCCCCCTCTGGTTATTTGGTTGTTTTGTTTTGGTACTTGTATTGGTTTCGCAACTATTTCATCTGTAAATACGTCATTGTATCGTGGGATGGGGACGACGGTGCGTGAACAGCCTCGGTGCACCCCGCCAGGTTGCGCACGTGTATCTATCATATCATTTACTAGCTACTAGCTATTAGCACACACACACACCCTCTTTTAATATCGAAATTATTCACCGTTTCACTAGCTTATAAATAAGAAATCACACATACTACCTATATTAATCATAGTACATACAATGTATGCTAAGTTAATCAATTATTCATACATACATACTAATCATAAGCTACGTACTAACAATCCTACTCACTATTATTTATGATTAATTTCTATATCATTCCACATTATTTACTTACCTATATTTTACTTCTCTTCTGCATCATTTGAACCCATTTAAACATTTTAAGTCCCTTTTAATCACTTTCCATAATATGTTTGTTGGCTGCATGCCGTACAAATAATTGAATAAATGAAATATTGAATCACCCTGACATGGCTCTTAAGAAGAATTAAGAATGCTTTGGGTAAAGAAATGGCGATTTAAATGGCTTATTTTCATCGTGGGGAAATGTAAATACATATAAAATAAGAACTCACCTAGAAGATGACAAAAAATAACAAATAACAAAGATATTAACCACACAACACATTTATGTACATATATTAGCACGATAAGAAAGCTGAATTTTTTTCTAATTAATTTTTTTGTATTTTGCTTGCTCATTTTTCATTTGAATCTTTTACTTTGATACCCCTAACGAAGATAATCCATGGGCAGGAACCACACAATTTTGAAGGGAGAATACCACCGGCACACGCACACATCACTGTTTTTTGTTTAACACACACTCGTACTGACACGCCCACGCGATTGGCGATCTGTGCCTTAAGCGAAATTGGAAAATTAACCGATATTGAATTGAGCCGCAAAGTGGAGATGATAAAGAATAAAAGAAACAAAATTCATTTCAATTGAGAAATCTACATCTGTACATGTTTTTGATATTGATTCGAGACGGGATTACAAAATCGTTATGTTGATCGCGGGCTGTTTATTTTGTTTACACAATTTTCCATCCTTTTCAATCGAGCAAGAATCCCGTCTATGCTGAAGAACAAGTGTGGCGCGCCGAAATGAAAACCTCAACTACGACGATAAATACATTTATATCAAAATTAAGCCGCTAATTAGGCAGCCTCCTATATCGATATATGTACATATGTATGTATGTATAATATATTGATGCGATAAAAATGCCAATTCAAATGCATTCAAAAGCTTGGTCTTCTTATCCTCATCAACGATATTTTATTCTGTTCTATTCAAGGGTAGGAGGAGGCGAGAATGCAAATGTTAAAAGTCTGTTAAATCACACGCACAATGTCTCTTAATTGGAACATTAATGGTTCTGATATCTATCCGCAAGCAAAATTGGAATGTTGAGAAAGAAACGAAAGCAAGAATTTGTTTGAAATTTGATTCGAAAAAACATAAAAATACACAAATCCAGTACAAAATTGGTTTCGGAAAACCACATTAGCGAAGACCGAACTGTTTTTCATATTTGCGTAAGCGCGGGTTGATCGTGTTTTTCCACGTTGCCTGCCTAATCAAAAAAGAATCACATCTGTTCTGCTAATACATGTTTACATATGCATGTATGTATGCGTACATGTTCCCGAACATTCCTATCAACACACAGACACACACACACATATGTATGTATAAAGAAGATGGTACAAAAAGGAGGTCCGCAATAGAGAAGTTAACCGTTATAGTAGTGCTGTAATGCGCAAAGAAAACGCACAATAAGGAAAGAAACGAAAATTAGTTTGAGAAATTGTTCTGCAGATCGCAGTCGACATTTGTGTGTGGCTTTGGTTAGAACTCCTGAAGCGATAAAATAACTGTATAAACAACAGAAATCTGTACATATTTAAGCAAACCACATCCGTGACTGAACCGCCGCACTTTATATACATACAAACAAACATACATCTATTTTGTATTATACCCATTTATTTGAGTCGTGTGTTTCCACCATTCCGCATGTGTTTTGTGTTTCCATAAGCTTTGATTTAAAACAATTGTCATACTGCTTGGAAAAGTGCATTGAACAAAGTAGAAGTGTTAGAGCCTCGCATGCGTTCGGATTGAGAGTCGCTTCCTAGTGAGGTTATGCACGACGCTGGAGTGCGGTGCGTGTGTTTGTGTGTGCGTGAGTGTGTGTGAACTATTTTTTTTGCAATGTCGCGAAACGTTGAAAACATTATATTTTAAAGACGCTTGATACATCTTGCAGACAAAATACGATGCCTGGGAAGATAGCGACTTCAATGATCTCGATGATGCGTCACTGAAGAAGCTTCTCGAGGAGGCGTATTGGTACCGTAATCCTGGCGACAGGAAAAACAAAAGCGAGCGTTTTCTGGTAAGTACTCTGACCTCTCACGCGCTTTTCACAGCCCTAATCTCGATCCAATCCAATTTTGTGTGCAGCAAATGCTCAAAAAGGCTGAGTACGACGAAGAGATCTCTTATCGTGCCATTAAATCCTGCCTCACACTCAACCCAACCACTCTAGCGACGTCAGCGTCCACATCCGGGGTAGCCGGCATTAGCAGCAGCAGTAACAACAACACCCACCACACAAACAATCGATCCGGGGAGCGTCACAAGCAGGGCGGCTCCTTGCAGGATCTTGTCGAGGCGGCTCATCGAAGTGGGGCGGCCACCACATCTGCGGCGGCGGCGGCAGCAGCAGCAGCGGCAGCAGCCACATCGGCGACAACCCAACGTTTCAACTGTGATTACCAGCTGAGTGGACGCGCGAACCGTCGCCACCAGCAGCAGCAGCAGCACAACAACAACAACAACCACCAAAACGCACCCTCTGCCTCCAAAAAGATCAAGAACTGGTCGGTGTCGGGACGGCAGCGCGAGGGAGGAAGCCTTCCGAGCAGCGTCAACTTTGAGCCAGCGACAACGTCCATGGATGCCAAGCTGAAACAGACTATGGGCGAGTCATCCCAGTCCCAGGCTGCAGCTGGCAAGAACAGTGCCGGCAGCTGCAGCAGCCTGCCCAGCCACCTGGGCGAGGCTGAGGCCGGCACCCAGTTCGATATGGACGATGATGAGACGGGTGGTGGTGCGAGTGGGAGTGCTGCCGCAGGCGCTGGCCCAATCCAACAAGACTGCCTGTTGGAGGTAAGCGATGATACACTGAATCAATGGGACGTCTGTATGGATCAATCGCTCTGGGAGATGGCTCAATCGAGTCTAATCGAAACCGATGGGTGGCAAATTGGGTCAAGTCCATTTGAGGCGGTAAGATGCGACGCTGTAAGGTCGCCAGCTGCCCTTCAATGGCGTGGCATGGCCTGCCAGCGAGCAGCATAATTCAATTAGTAATCCATAAACCTGTAGTAATCGCAATAATCAATATTCCTCTATACGTCGTCTCTTGCGGACAAAGTCTCTAAATGGAAATGTAGAATTAATCAAGTTATGTCTACCCCACAAACACCCACACCCAAACACATACACTAACACCCATACCATAACACAAAAACCAACGCATTAACTTCCATTCCATTCATATGTATATGCATCTGTATGAATGTATTACGTATTTACGCCCTGCGGAGAGATAGTGGGTGTGCGTGCCTGTCCCAGGCGTTATATATGAATATCCTATGTATTATGATACCATTGATTTAAGAAAGTTGTAGACAAAATCTGGTATGATGCATAGGTAGAAGGGATAGATGGAGAACTCCGCACCCATCTGCTGGCCGAATAGGTGGGATCATCATATCATATTCAATTCACGGGGGGTAGTCGGAACTAACACGGGGGGGCCAGGACATTTTCTGTACATTTTCCCTTTGAATTTGTGATTTGTAAAAGTCTGCCGCAAAAAGGGGGTTTGCAAAGTCGCGATCGAATCAGATTAGAAATATACTAACTTTCGTTTTCTCCGTTTCCTCCTGTTCTTTTCCGCGTTCAGCTTTCGGAGGACAATCGCGGAATAAAAAAGAAGAAAGCAGGCGGCGCCAATCAATCAACGTCGTATCTCAGCACAAAGGTGCTCGACAATTTCATGCAAAACTACAGCCCGCATCAGCCCGAGTCGAGGGATTCGGCCGTTGGAGGCGAGTATCAAATCGGAGAAACCCTGCCGTTATTGGGGTCCGTTGGCATCAGGTCACCCGGAATGCCCCACATGCATGTACACCAACAGAACATGCAACTCCAGGCACAGTATTCGGCTGGTGGACACTTTGAAAGGGGAGTAGACGATCCCACCCGCAAAGTAGACGCTGGCTATGTGTCGCTGAGCGACAGCTATACGGCCTGCTCCTCGGTCTACGCCGATACGTCGACGATATCCCATCCAAGCCGAGCCGCATCCTCGGGGGATGTGTTTGGCAGGAAAAGCGGTCGTGCAGGTCCCGCGGTAACGGGTGCCAAGTCCACATCGGTAAGTACCAACGACTCACAAAGCAAAAACCAGTTACAAAAACATCTTATATCCAAAGCGTAACCTCGATGAGAATGGCAACGCCCTGAGCGATGGGTACGGCGCCAATGGCACGCCCAGCAGCAGCAGTAGCAATGGAAATGGCAATGGCAATGCCAATGGCAACGGCGGAAGCGGATCCAATCAGTTTACGGCCCTGATCACCACTACGATGGGTGCAAATGCACCGCCATCGTCCACAAGCCGCCAGAACAGCGTGTCCACGCTGCTCACAACCGGAAGCAACACAACAACCACTGCAATGGCAGCCGCTGCAGTGGCGGCCTCCTTCAATAGCCAGTTGCAGCAGGTTAACGTGGGGAACGGATCGGGAGGAAACGGAGCCGCAGCCGGAGTTGGAGTGGGTCCCGGAGTCGGAGTTAGTGCCGGTGCCGGCACTGGGGGACAGCCGACCAAGACCAAGTCAAAGAAGAGGTCGCAGCAGGAGCGCAACACAACCACTGTGGATGCCGAGTCAGTGGCCGGGTATCGCGGCAAAGAGTCGGTGGAGCAGCTGGTCAAGTACATCGAGAACGATGGCAACAGCGGCGGACAGAAGAAAAAGGAGCGCAAGAAGCAAAACCAGAAGCTTAAGAAGAGCAACTCGCTGGAGGAGCTGCGTAGCTGTTCCAAAATGGAGGCGGACGACCTCAAGCGCGAGTCGGCCACCACCGAGATGATGCCCCAGAAGAAGGACTCCAACAATGCGAATGCCAGTGGCAGTGGCAAACAGAACTCTGCCTCCGTGGCGGACATTAGCAAGAACTGCAGCAAGGAGCAGCAGCAGCAGGTCACACCTGTCCAAGTCCAAGTCCAAGTACGTAAGGTCGCTGAAACCGCCGCTCAGCAGCGGAAAGGAGAGCGCCGTTCCTGGGGCACCGAGGAGCTGCAGTATCTGGGGGATCAGGAATATCGCAAGCCAGGCTTGGGTAAGGCTGCGGCCCGCTCTGAGCCCGATATCGAGGCGGAACCGATGCCGCTCTCCCTGCCGGCCCTCTCTTGTATGTCCGAAATGGATGCCCTGAACACCGTCCTCTCCGAGACAGCCGAATTCCATGTGGTGACAAAGAAGAAGAAACCAAAGAAGCAGCGAGCCGTCACCATGGACGATGCGGCCGTCGCGGCCGCTGCCCACGCGGGAGGCAATCTGCAGCGCATGCAGCAGATCACAAAATCTGCCTCCTCCAACATGATGTCCCAGCGGACCCACTACTACACGGCGTACACCAACAGCGGCACGGGCTCCGGCTCTGGCTCCGGCTCCAGCAACCATCATGGCCAGTATCCGAGCAAGTCGGCACAGCAGCAGCAGCCGCAGTACCAGGATGCGCAGCCGCAGCATCACCATCACCACCATCATCATTACCATCATCATCATCATCATGGTGGGTCGGGTTCGGTCAAAAAGGACAGCTCGCGACGCAAGTCCACATCCTCGATGCCGCCCTCGGAAAAATCCGATTCCAGTGATCTCGACTCAGTCCACTCGCTGCCGATCCAGACGGTCAAGAAGAAGAGTCTCGGCTTCAGCAGCGGCGGCGGCGGCGGCGGCGGCGGCGGCGCCGGCACCACCAACAACAAGGAGCGGACAGCGCAGGCCGCCACCCAACGTCAGGTTAAGAAAAAGACCCTGGCACCAGCTCCAATTTCCTATGCGGACATAGCCCGCAACAAGCGGGAGGCCCTGAAGAATGCCAGTGGCAATGGCAGTGCAAATGCCAGCGACCCAGAGCCGTCCGAATCAGCTGCAGGAGCTGGTGGGGCTGATAAGCCCGCCGGCGGCAAGGGCAGCAAGTCTAAGGTCAAACCGGATTTCCCAGAGCTGCCAGTAGCTCTATCCATACCGGTAGCCATCAGCACCGCCACCAGCACTAGCAGCAACACTGCCACCAATCAGGTGGCCAGTTCCAGCAACAACTCGTCGTCGGCGGGATCGATCAGCTACTCGAAGAGCCTGAATGCGACACCTGCCAGCAGCACCAGCGACGTTGATGCCTCGCCAGAGCTCACCCCCACTTGCACGACTGCCCCCAGCAGCAGCCTCTCCTCGTCACAGCCGGCGCTGCAAAAGTCCAAGAGTGTGGAGCACGATGCCACTTATACGTTCAACAGCAGCAACCTCGATCAGCAGTACCCAGCCCTTGAGAAGACTGTCAAGAGGCATAGCACAACCAATGTGTCTCTGACAGCCGGCGTCTATCCAACTTCTAGTTCAGTATCGTCCGCAGGGACGGGCTCGTCAGCAATTTTCAACTTTGCTGCCGCAACCAAGTTACAGATGGTGGACAAATCCACGGGAACCACATCATTACCAACTACCTCAGCCAAGTCCAAGACAAAGTCAAAGGACCTGTCATACAGCAGCGCAAGCAGCACCACCAGCAGCAGCTCGGGCAGTACCAGCAGCAAGAAGTCCATGAAGCTTGGCAACGAAGAGGCGGCGACTACTCCAGTGTCCATGCCAGTTGCCCAGAAGTCGACGACGGCCACCCAGACCGAGGGGACCAAGAAGATGGGCCACAAGATGTCCCACACCAGCAGCAAGCTGACACCTGAGCTTATCGCTGGTCGGCCGGCGGTGATAATACTCAACGATGATCGCGACTCGGAAGAGGAGGGACTCAACAACGAGTTCATCTTTGGGGATTTCAACGAGGATGAGCTGAAGCTCTTCGACGACAAGAAAGAGGAGAAGGAAAATGAAAAAGAGAAAGAGAAAGAAAAGGAGAAGGAGAAGAGTGAGAAGAAGGTGAAACCACCAGAGTCGCAGCCGAAATCACAGGCAGAGCCAACAAAGCCACAGGCAGAGCCACAGCCAGGGCCAATGTCCCAGGCAGAGCCACAGGCAAAGCCATTAGCAACACAGATGGACAAGCCAGAGCCCATGGATGAGAATGTGGATGAGGAGGAGGATGATAATCAGATTCCAGAAGCAGAACCAGAACCAGAACAAATCGGGGAGGACAAAACTGAGAAGAAGGAGACAGAAAACGCAGCAGCCACTCAGTCGGATGTCAGCTCCAGTAGCTACCAGCAGCTGATACTGAATGATTCGGGCGCTGCCTCTGATGTGGTCAACAGCTCGGCCAGTTTGGACATGCTATCGATCTCGGGCGAGGCCGTGCAGTCGTCGTCGCCAAACTCAGCGGCCATTTCCACAAACTCGGGCTCATCCAGCATCATCAACTCGTCGACATCCTCAACACCTTCGTCTGACTCGGCGCCAAATTCCAACTCGTCGTCATCCGTTTCGATATCCTCCTCATCTGGAGGCAACGGTCCGATGGGCTTGTGCTCGGGATCGGGATCCGGTGCGGCCCATGTGGCGAACCAGTCCAGCGATAGTGGTATCTATGGTGCCGCCAACACGTCCGTGAAGGACCACATCAACCAGTTCCTTAGCCGGGCCAGCAGCAGTAGTGAGGAGCCGCTGCCGAATGTCCCCATCTCCATGCAACAGTTGGAGACCTGCAATGACATTGAGGCGGCCATCATAGCCGCTGCCCGGGCCGCGGCCGCAGCACGCAGTAACAGCTGCAGTCGCAGAAATTCCCAGGAACTGGAGTCCTCGCAGTCTCTGTCCCTGTCCAAGTCCAAGCAGCAGCAGCAGCATCAGCATCAGAGCCCAGTTGCCAAATCGAAGATTGCGCCCGTCTATACGACCTACAATGTTGGCGTACAGGACTACGACGAGGACCTAGAAGAGCTGAGCTTCCTGGCCGACCTCAGAGATGCGGAGGTAGACGTGGAGGAGGAGGCGGAAGTGAAAGCGGAGGCTGATGCCGAGGCTGTTGCATCGTCATCCCGCATGGATCCAATCGTAGACTACATTTCAAGCAGTGAGTTATCGAGAAATCGAGTCCCTTGTCAATATTTATTTTGGTCAGGATTAATGCACAGTAGGCTGTGCATAACCTAGTTAGTTATAAACCTAGTAACCAGTCTGTTGATAGTTAAGAAAAGTCTAAATTATGTTTCCGAACTTGCGTAATTGATTTGTTAGGATTATTCGCACTATTTTTATCATCCAATACGAATAATTTTATGTCCATATCGTCTCGTCCCGCAGCTTGGCACGCCATTTCCACCAGCAAGCATGTAATGTTCTACAAAGAGCCCGAACAGGAGATCTAGGAGGAGCCGGTCGAAGCAGATACCGCAGCCGCCACATCAGGCGGCAGTCAGCGAGGGGATCAGAACTACAAAAACGAAAAGGAGGATTAGTTTGTATTGCATGTCTGTTAAAGTTGCATTTTTGTTTGCTTCGTGCTGGGCCATCGATTGTACACAGATCTACGGATATACACGGATATGCTATAACCAAACGCTTTTGTGCTAATTACTGTAACAAACTATTGATTAACTATCGATTAGAATTTAAAACCGCGAGCGGCAAAACTAAAACCACCATGAGTGTCAAATAAAACCATGAAAAACTATGAAAAAATCATTCGAATGGAACCAGAACACAACATAGGTCATAGCTGATAGGACCGTGTCTCTTCCATTAGCAAAGCCAGGTAGGAGAGCCAAGAGGGCAAGGCAAGGCAAAGCCAAAAAGAACAATATCAAGAAGATCGAGAGAAAACAAATCCCGGCAAAGACAAAGAAAAGAATAAGAATAACAAGGCAGAAGATTATAATCGATGATGGAGAAGTTATCGGGGGCGACACACAAGACGTTAGATCATGATAAATATGAAGACGAAACGAAGACAAAGATGATTTTGTTGGACGATTTTGTTAGACAAAAAATAAGACGTAGAAGAACGAACTCTCAATCCATTAGTACCGCTGTGAATAGAACAAACAAAAACAAGGGGAGAAAATCCCTGTAAGAAATCCTTGATCCCTACAATAGGCCAAGTCGGTGACGTAAAATATGAATATTTATTAAACACTTAGTTTGGACCGGTGATTCGGAGTGCGATTCAGATAGCAGGCGATGTTCAGTCAGCATTTGGAACTGCTTTTGTTAATTTACAAGTTTTTGGCTCCTTAAAACGCTACGTTTTACTATTACTATTACACTTACGAGCTCTAATTTTAACTACTATTACTACTATTACGGAAGCAACCATTCTTTTTTTTGTATTTTTTAATGCCTTTGTGTTTCTCCGCTTTAATGCGCGCGCCTGTAGCTTGTACGAGTATATTTTATCACTACTTCGAGTAAGATTGAGCAAACTAGTTTAGTTATAGACAGAGTCAGCCCACAGGGAAGTGAGGGGAGGCAGAGGAACGGAACCGATTGAACACTAGCATATAGTCGCGTGTACATAGGATGCAAAGACCACAGAATAACGAAAACAATATTACAAAACCCAGCTAAGAACTTGAATAGTTTTGCGTTTAATTGTTAAAAAAAGAAGCCGCAAAAGAAAAAAAAACCGAAAACGAGAAAGCACACAACAAATGATATGATATGTGTGCATGAATAATTATTATCTAGAGTTAAGATCTATACGGCTAGCCATAAAGAAGCCGCATGAGGGGATGAAATGAAAATTTATGTATGTTAAAACCACAAAACACACACAAAACAAACAAACAACAACAAAAAAACAACTATCAAGCACCTACGAAAAATGCCGCCGTTTAGCAGCGAGAGAGAGCCTCAGCAGGCCTTTCCGAGAGTAAAAAAAAAACCAGGAAACAGTTCCAATAAACCAGAAACCGGATGAAAACCGCATGAAAACCACAAAATGAGTCAAAAAACAAAAATTAAATGGAGAAAATTAATATATAAAAAAAAAAACCGTAGCATTAAAAACGCACCTACATAGGAATATTCATTATATACACCCACACACACACAAACACACACATATATATATATACATGATACATGATACATAGACATATGATGAACAGATTTTTTTTTGAGAATGCCAGTCGTTAATTATTTAAATTCGACTAAGATATTTAAGACATAACTTTAAACAAAACAAAGAAAAAAGTGTCTAAAGCAAAAAAAAAAAATTCAAAATTATTAAAAACGCGTAACTATTTAAAGTTAATCAAAAAAAGACCCACACACACACATTTGAAAGGCGAATAAATAACAAAGCGAAGAAATTTTGAAACATTGGAAAAGTTGTGCTGTATTACGGAAAAGAGAGAGATGGAGAGAAGAGTGCGAGGGAAACAGGCAGACAGCGCTTTACGTTTAGTCAGCAATAGCTGTCTCTTCCTCTCTCTCTCTCTCTCTCTCTCTCTCTCTCTGGATACTTCCCTTCCATCGATCTAGAGAAAAAGAAACGAAAAGGAACGTTTATAAAAGAAAATGTAATTTTAATCAAGTTGCAGGGAGGATTACCCGTTATATACTGAAGAGTATGAATATGTAATCCACGAATAAGGACAATTCTACAAAACAAATGATATGCAACCACTAAGTCAAACTAAGCCAATGTACACTGCATCAATTTTTAGAAAAAATTATAACTATTTAGCGACAAAAGAGACAGAAAAATAACTAAAAAAAAAAGAGAAACAAAAGCAAATTGAAATTATATGAAAGATAATGCAAATTAACTCTGAAATATAAATTATATTATATATATAAATATACGTATACATATTACGCAGGCCAGGCCCTTGCTGCCTCTCAAAGATACACTGGATCATTCGTTTTTATAATCCGCATAGAACATCAATGAATTAAAAATGTAGCACATCTTAGAGGAGTGTATATGTGTGTATTAACGTTGAACAGTGACGTGTAGTACTGCAGCAACACCCCTGTTGGCCTGTGTTATATATATTTATATATATAAATTATAAACAAAAATTCAAATCAACGTTTCTTATGTGTGTGTATTTATGTAACATGTAGTTGCGTGTATGTGTATATAATATAGTAAAAATGTTAGCTCTCCACCATCTAACATACGAAAAAAAGAAGAAAAAACAGGGAGAGGAGATTCCCCTTGGCAGTGATTCGCCTCTCAGTGCCCTCCCCCATCCCATCCAAAAAGCCGATGGCGCTTTGTAATTACTTATTTATTTTCTATATTTGACCCCAAATTCGTGTAGGATTTGTGGCTGCGCAAGAGCTTTTCGGAGTCTGGAAGCCAACAGACCCAGGAACTAAAATTTCTTCATTTCGCTATTTAATGAGCGTAGTTAGCATATTTATCCAGTTGACACGATATAGTCGGCCCCAGAAATGACTCGTACATCCCTTGCAGTTGGGCACAATGGTTCCACTACTTGATGTGTGGTTATCATACGCAAGATGCATGTTTGCTTTATAAAACTACAACATTCTGTTCTGAATATTAAACAGAACGATGGGTATTTGGATACTTTTTAAACAAACAAATTATTTAAAACAATTTTAACATTTTTTTGTACATACAAATTGCAACTTAAGACCCGTTTGTAAAGTTCGATATAAAATCAGAACAAAATGATCTGCGTAGAAAATTAAGCAAAGCCCGAATTCCTTTTACACTGTCTTTACCGTATAAATTTTGATTCATCTCTCTCAACTAAATTTTTGTACATACATATATACTGAAGGGAGTGTATTTTGCGTAGGATAACTTAAAGTCTAGTGATTGAAACGTTGACCCAGCCCTCAAGGTAAATGCACGGCAATTGTTGGGGTCGGTTGGCATGTGTTTCGTAGAGTTCGAATTGCATAATTTCCGTATTGTTTGCACTTGTTGATTTGCCGATAAGCAGCAGTAACAATAAAAAAATGGAGAGCAAAATAAATGAGAAACTATAACCATAAACATATGACTAAGTCTATTGCATAGCTAAACAAAGAATTCTATAAACACCTAGTTGATAGTTGTAGTACCCATACCCATACCTATACCCATACCCATTACCCATTACCCATACGAATAGATGGATCGTATGTACCCTCCTAGAAAGATGATGCCGAGATGATAACGACAACGTCTAGAAGCGTGTCAATGGGCATTGAAACTAACTCTAAATTTATACAAACGTATACATACTTCTATATAAACATACAAAGAAACATATGTACTCAACTACTTCTACTGAGAAAGCCGACTAAAACTACAAATACTAATTCCCAGGCACGCCCGACCCCCCATCTTCCCATCCCAAAGCTCGGCGAAGAGCCGCAGTCCCCCCAACCAACTATACTTAACTTATACATACCAATATTTGTACATGCAAGAGAAAAAGAAGAGTAAAAATGAAAAGAAAAAATAAGAAATGGAAGTGGAAATGGATATGGAAAAGGAAATGGAAAAGCGAAAGGTATTAGAATTTAACGAAATTACAGTCAGGCGGGATCCGCGCCGATTACCGTCCGATTGTCGATTGACCAGCGGATCGATCCTGATCCGCTGTTGGTCGGGCGATAAGCCGTCAAGCTATCGCTGCGGCCAATCGAACAGGGGACGGCAGTCGATGGCCTGTCCACATCCCCACCCCCAGGGGCCTAACTAAACCAGAAAAACTGAAAACATTATCTGAATGGGAAATACAAATCTAATTTAATATGTGTTTAAAATATAATTAGCTGGAGTGAAGAATCGAAATAAAAATGCAAAAAAAATATATATATATAATTGTCGTTTCATTTTAATTAACCCCAAGGCTTGGAGCGTCCTGAGTCAACCCGTCAACCACATACATATATTTATATATATTTATCATGATCGGCGTGGAAATATGATTTTATCTAGAATCTAGATCCGATTCTCCTCATGCGATAAACTGAAAGCATATCCATATATAAACCTCAGATATAAACGTGAAATCGTACAGAAGAAAACCAAAAGGCATCCCCGCCTTGAAGTAACTTCAAAATCAAACACTTAATTTGCTGGCTCAAGTCTTGCGAACTGGGGACAAGTGTTTCAAATATATGCAGCTTGTTGCTAGTAAAATTCGACATACTGGAATTCATTATGTTCCATGCAGCCCAGGGCATTGTCTCCACATATGTCCTAGTGTATCCTAAAGCATTTACAGAATCTATTGGTGTCTTTAAATACAAATTTCAGCTAATAGTTGTTCAAATTGCTTCATAATATGATATATCTTCAAATAATACAGCTGAAACCAATTGATTTCTATTCACCTATAGGTATGAGTATCGTATCACTGTATCATTTAGCTCAATCCGATTGAAAGCGTCCTCTAAATCATATAGATGTGATTCATAACGCACTACTCTATGAAAGAAAAATCCAGCTAAATCTCATTCATATTGTAAATTCGATTTTTTTAGATGTGTGCACACAGATGTAAGTATTTAGTTCCCTGGTGCTTTATCTTAAGTAGGGGATATTTATAGCCTGCTTCTCATATTTATTTACTTATATACGTTGAGCAACGATAAGCACAGATTTTTTTTCATGGTGGAGTTTATTATTAGATATAAGTACACGGGACTAGAGACACTCTCCTGCAGCCACGCTAAGCGCGGGGGAAGCTCGATTGGGTCCCTGGCAGCTGGACAGACTGTGAGGCCACCTCACAGGCGGCCGCAATGTGTGCGTCGAGGGTTCTATCTGGGAAGCGGGCCAGGTTGTGGGCTAGTGCACCAATGAAGGCGTCACCCGCGCCCGTTGTGTCTACCACTTTGTTGACGTGAGGAGCGGGCACGTGCTGGAATTCGCCGGGCGAATCTTTGGCTCCCCACACAGCTCCCAGAGGGCCCAGTGTGAGAATCACCGTGTTAGCACCCATTTCAATGAGCCGCTTGCAGGCGTCGTTAGCTTCCCTGTAAGGGAGGATCTGTTAGTTGGGACACAGAAGGATAAGACCAGTACTTACTTTATGCTGCTCACGCTGGCCACTCCCGTCATCATGGCAGCCTCGCTTTCGTTCACGCAGAATATGTTGGCCAGCTCCAGCAGCTCTCGTGGCGTCTGCTCCATTGCCGGAGCGGCGTTTACAATGGAAACACCCTTAAAGCAACGCAGGGCTTGGAGCGTGGCTGCGACGGGTGTCTCCAGCTGGCACACGAGCACCATGGCCTCGCCAAACAGTGCCTTGGCGATGAAAACGTCGTCGGCGCTAAGCTGGTTATTGGCACCTACAACAATGATGATGTTGTTCTCGCCATCGTCGGAGACTGCGATCTGGGCAATGCCCGTGCTCTGGCCCGTCAGCTGCTGCACGTGGCTTACATTGACGTTCTCCTCTCGCAGCTGGCGAAGGTAGTCGCTGCCAAAGCTATCGTCGCCTAGTTTGGCAACCAATGCCGTCCTTGAGCCCAGCCTGGCGGCCGCCACACACTGATTCGCACCCTTACCGCCGTAGCCGGTCTGGAATTTGCGTCCGTGAAGCGTCTCCCCGGCCTTGGGAAGGCGGGGCGTGTAGCTGCCAAAATAAAAGTGAAGGTGCTGATCAGTCTGGTCTCCACAATCCGCATCCGTGGATGGAAGGCGACCTACCAGATGAAATCTATGATGGCCGAACCGAAGACCAGAACCTCAATTTCCTCGCTCATTTCTCAGCTGTTATTTTTGCAAACTGCAGCAGAGTGGCGGGGTGCTGATTTATTACTGAACGATTGAATTTACGATCCCAGGGTACTTTGCTTATCTGGCGCTGTAGGGGTCTTATCAGCAACTTGGCCAATTCCATTCACGGCCTCCGGGACGGAAAGAGGCGGTTGAGAGTACTCGAGAAAGGTAGAGAAATTCATTTGAACAATTAGCAAGCAATTTGCCCATTCTCTTCTCTTCTCTTGTTTTTGTTTTGGTAGCCAAGAGAACAACAAAGATACTGGAAATACCAGATGTGGTATTTTTGTGATCACACACTAAAAATATCTTAATATTATTACTATTTTCCGTTCATCTAAATGATTTATATTAAACATTAGCTCTCGTTTCCCCTAGGAACTCTTAAATCTATACTAAATTTGATACACGCATTCTGGTTTAGTTCCACTAAAACGCATTAGCGCGTTTCGGAAGCCCCATTCCCGTTCATGTCGGTAGAAGTCTCCAGTGAAATGTAAATAACAATTGATGCTAAAGTTATCAATGAAAATGTTAAAATTGCTTCATAGGTAAACAACCATAGGCACAGCTGTATGTGGTTGTATGTATTTGATGGTGTGGTGTATTCTCGGGCTTTAAGATAAATCATAAACTTTATTAATATACATTGGGGTAGTACAGATAAACAGAACTGTTGGCAGGACAGGCGATCAGACGTAACCTAGGGGAATACATGCGATTTCATTTCGATTGGGGCTTTTGCTTTTTGGTTTGGGGTTTGCTTGAGCTTGAGTTTAACTGCTGAGACTCATAACACATAGGCGTTCCGTTTCTAAAATTACAATTATAAATATAAAGCCATACATTTTGATTGGGCCCTAACGATTTTCAAGTATGTGTGTCTATGTATAAAATCTATATCTAGATATTATACGTTTCACTAGCGAGCGAATAATCTGCTCTGATTTTGATCTCCATACTTGTGAGGGGTTGCCTTGCTTAGATCCTATATATTGCGACTTGTGGAACCCCTCCTCTTGTAGGAGTAAGGTGCGAGATAAAATTTAGTACAATACATTCTGGAGATGGGTTGGCGTGTCATCATCGTTATTGTAATCATTATTGTATTATTACGACTGTTAAATTCCGGCACGCTCCAGGGCGCTCAGCTGTGTGCCCAGTCGCTCTTCCTTAGCCTTGCGTTCCGCACTGATCTTCTTGGAGCTCTGATAGGTGTTGAGGAAGGTCTGTACATCGATCTTGCCATTGAGAAAGTGCTCTACATGACGATCGCAATCGGCGTCGGCATTCGAGGCAGCAATTTGGAGCAATTCCTGGGGATAAGAACCACGTGACAAGCTTGGACAATAAAACATCAAGAAATTTCACTAACCCGTATGTGTTGGGGGGCATATTCCTCCGACTTTTTCAAGTACTTCTTGTTTAGTTGGTCGCACTTCTCGCCCAGCGTTTTCAGGGCGGTGTAGTCATCGCTGAGACGGCGCTTCAGCTCCACCAGATGGCTGCCCTTGCTCTCATTTTCACCTAGTTTGATATAAATGATCGCATTTATTTTGTTGCCTGATTGAATGGACTAACTTCATTGCATACGTGATATATTCTCCACTTGATTCATCATCGAGTCCAGCTCCTCGTTTAGATGCTGCACCACAGACATCTCCTCGATAAAATCGTCGAAGAACTCCGGATCCCTGTCCAGCTGCTTCAGCTCGTCCAGCGACAGTGTGGATAGGTTCGGCATATTGCCCTCCTCCTCTGGTTCCAGTCCGCCACCAGCAATGCGCCTGTTGTCCTGCAGCTGTGTCTGAGGCGACACCGCCTGCTTCGACGAATTGCGTGTGGTGGGCATCCCGATGTGCCCCGTTACTCCTAGCTCTGGCAGTGGACAATATTCCGATCGGTTTCTAGCATTTGATCCCCACTCGCTGAGCCTCTTTTGAATATAGTTGGTGGCGTCGCGGGCCTAAATAAATTACGTTGTCAGTAATTAAATACTTGGTTCTGCCTTCTACTCACCAAATGGCGTGTTTCCTTGTGTTTGACTTACGGGGATGTTTTCAGTTTTTAGGGAAGTGTATGCTTTCTGGAACGCAAATCGAATAAATGGAGTGGCTTGCTTTGTTTGTTAAGGTCCGAATATCATTATCTTTTATAACAAAAACAACATTCGCTTGCTCATGAAGCACCGTTGACGGTTAAGGGTTGCCACCTTGTCCACATGAGCCGGGCTGTGATATTTAAGATTAAAAATTGCTATCACAGCTGTAAAGGAACAAATTTATGGCTATGAAATCTTTTCAAGTTAGAGCCACCAAGTGCAACGAAGTGCAACACACGGGTAGGAGGTGGATTCCGTGCGTAGGCCTGCATACCCTGCTCACATCGAACAGCTGATCGGACATAATTTGTTTACGATTTGTGCAACGGCGGCATCGCAACGCGCTTTTACATAACTGTTGTTTTTATTAGATACGAAACTATGGCGCTTTTTGAGATGAAATGGCTACGCCGCTTGGTGCGGCGCAACACAAGCCCCATACCGGAGCACCGCGCCGAAATGTGGAAGCGGCGCCTCAGCATTGGCTATGCAATTGTGGCCTGGCACGCCTTCGGCCTGGTCTGCTACATGGTCTACACCGGTCGTAACGATTGGGCCAAATATTATGGTTACAAGACGGAGGAGGAAATGGCCCTGTCGCCGGCCCAACAATTCGCGAAGCACCTCAAAGTGGAGGGAACTGGCAAAATTATACGCTACTCGGGCTTCACGAAGGTGGAGGAGATACCATTCGACTCTAGCACAGTGGAAAAAGTAAAGGAGTAAAGCAGACATTTAGATCATAGTTAAAATAATTTTTTTTGTCATAACTATTGCTGATTGCAATCGAAGAAAATATATCTATAAAAAAATTCAAAGTTTGGTATTAATAGTGGAATTTTGTTCTGTTATTTATACAGAAATGGGGGGTTGGTATGGTATCGAAATTTAAATGCTATCCTCAAAACATTTAAACAAAATATAAATTTATGACCTATCACGAAATTTCGTATGTTACCATTTTTTAGGTTCCTATCCTGCCAGTTTAGCATTATTAAAAAATATGTTTGTATGGTAAGGTCCGTTTCAAGACTTTACTTCTTTATTGGGTTTAATTTCCAACAAAACATGAAATTCTTCACTGATTGATGGTAGGATGAAAATACAATGCTTTTTTTAACATGTACATGTAGTATGTACAAAAATGAATGTTGTGTACATTTCTGTTGACCTTTTTAGCTTAAACCTTATTTTATTAACAATCCTATAATTCATTTTAATATATTTAATTTTTTTTTAGTATGGATTAGACCTTTAAGGAGAATTGAAAAACAGCATTATTTTCTGTGGTTTATTTCAAATTGTTCAACTGTTTAGATAGGTAAAGTGAGTTAATTTCCTTAATTTATGGTACAACGGTATATAATGGTATATTTGTTGGTATATTTGATTAATTTTATCCATTAAATTTTTAAAGATACTTATATTTAAGAACAAGGGATATAGAAACTTCCATACGTAGGTTTTTTTAATTTTTGCTATCTCAAATCGTGCTTTCGTGCATAATACATATATTCCAATGGATTGCATTTAAATCCTTATCACGCATTCACTTTCAAACAAATTTCTATTTTGAGTGCACCACTCTTTTTTGCTCTCTCTGAATCAGTTAAGGCTATTTTTGAACCGGTAGGCAATAATGACAACAATGGCAAAATTCCATGCGCAAAAGTTGGGCATTATTCTGCATACCTAGGGAAGAGAGTATTATAGAACTGCAGAAATGTTTGTCATCCCAGGGTCTAATTAATGCAGAAACTTGTCAGTCTATGTTTTAAAAGTATTTCAACGATGCATACCAAGAATGAGGATCAGGATATACAGGAAACTAATAAAATGCATTAATACGTCTAAGAAATATCAATTTGAGAAAATTTCTTTATTAATAACGTTTTGAAAACTATATCTAAATATTAAATTAACGAAATAGGCTTTACAAATGCTCATACTCCGGCTGATATGCAACAAGTCTTCAAATGCCAGCAACATTGATGTGACGACATTGCGACTGTTTTTTTGTTTAACTTTTTTGCTTAAACCGTGTTGTAGAACATTTATTCATCAATGATCTAAAATTATGTGCGCAGAGCTAAGCGTTTTAATTGGCCAGCATTATTCAACGGAATATCAAAATTAAGCAGTAGGAACGATTACTGTCTTACGTTTTTTTTGGTTGACCTTTTCCACTAAACCTTTTTTAGCCAAAATCCAATAAAGGCAAGTATTAAAATAAAACAGTCAACTAGAAAATAGGTTCGTTTATTATATAAAATTATGTGGGCAGGACTAAGAGATCTATCTAGCTATTAATATTTGACGGAATATCAAAACCGAGGAATATGTATAAAAGAACTTAAATTCGTCAGTCTAGTTACGGTTTATTTTTAAAATGAGTCGGTGTTTTGGTATATTTCCGAGGGTCGCATGGTATATTTTATCGATAAGTCCGCGGTCACACTGATTTTCTAGCCACCACGTCTAGCTCACACACCTTGCAAATTGTATACTTTTCATAGTATATTCTAGTATATTCAAGCATATTATAAGACGCGTTATTGACTGACCCTCTTGTCCAATGCACCAATGTTGAAATCGTGTAGAAATGCCATTTAGAGCCATGTCCCAGGCCACATCGAATACTAATTCGTGATCAGCATCGAATTTCTAATTTTTTTGCTATCAAAATCTCAATTATTTAAAAAATGTCGGGAAAAAAGTCATGTCAAAAAATGGACAATGGACGTTTTTCACACTGGCGCTTCCATGGGGCTTATATGAAATAAAACGGCCAAAAATGTTTGAAACGTACACATTTCCCCTGCAGGTGTCGCCCTTGGTAATTACATGAAAATGTAGCTAATATGTATCGAATGTGTAGTTGGCGTGTAGTTACCATGTAATGAAATGAATTTAGTGGAATTTTTGTTGACCGTTTTTGCTGAAACCTTATTTTATAAGCAATGCAATACAGCTGAACGCTTAAATTCAACTAGTACTGTAGGAAATTGATTTTATAATTGGATAAAACTATGACTTCAGAGCTGAGGGTCCTAGCTAGCTGGTAATATTCCACCGAATATCAAAAACGATGAAATATGATGGAACTAAAATACAAATAATTCGTCAGTATATTTACGGTATATTTTGAAATTTGTGACGTATTTTGGTCAGAATCAGAATCACTGAATCAGGGAGCGCGACGCGACGCGGACGGATCAAAAAATAATAACAATAAACGTAATATTTGCAAACTTGATAATGGCCATGAGCCTTTGGCCTGTGAAGAAGTTATTGCATTGCGGATGACAATCTGGCTATCTGGCAATCTGTCGAGACTGTGCGTGCGTGCGGTTGCAGTTAATTCAGCTTTATCTAAAAATAAATAAAATCAGCAGCATCAGAGCAACAGCAACAACAGTCGCGGCATCATCCAACACACAGCACACATACAAATGTACAACATAAAACGTATTTTTAATTGTAACAAAAAATAAATGAATATTAATTGACTATCAGGCAAGCAATGCACTCTTGTCGGAGGTCATCAGCAATGACTGCACTGCTGCTCCGTTTGTCTCTGTGTCTGTGAAATAACGGGACTAGCAGCAGCAGCGGCGGTGGCGGCGGCGGCTGCATTAGAAAAGCAACAGCAAACGGAATTTGCAGACAGCGGTTCCACTGCTTTCCTCCCTCACCACCTCTATTTGGAATTTGTGGAAATATAAAAGAAATGTTAAAAGCCGCAAATAATTGCTAATTAGTTGCATTTCTCATTGTTGTTAGAGAGCCGCTGCTGCAGCCGCAACTGATGCAAGGCTTCGCTAACGAATTTCTAATGTAATTAACGCCGACAGAGAAGTCCGCCTCTGCTGCTGCTGCCACTGCTGCTCTGTTGCAGCTGTTTCTTAGAGAAACGTTTGAAATGTGTGTGTGTTACCGTTTTGTTGCAACGAAATGCATATGTGCCTAAGATCGAATCGAATATACAAATACATATATGTATAGTGTTCTCTCCCTCCTGTTTCTGTCATTTCGCAGTGGCCGAGCAACGGTTTAAGTTAAACCAAACCCCCCCTCCTTCTTCACCGACCCCCAAAAAAGGCCAAAGGTGCAAGTGCTTCTCTCACACTTAAACGCACACGGATAGAGCGGCTTAGCAGAGACAGCAACCAAAAGCTGCTGAGAATACCGTTTGATTGATTATTGCTGCTGCTGTTCTTCTCTCCTTCTCCTCCTCCTCCTCCACCAGAGCGACTGCACCAGCACATATCCCGGAGGTGGCGACGGGTGAGTGAGAAAACTACGAAAATAGACTAAGAAAATGATGTTCCAGTTTGTATTTTTTGTTTATTTGTTATTGCTGTCTGTTCGAAAAGAAAACGATTAAAAGCGCATTAATTATATAATTTTTGAAAGTGAAATTTCCACTTTCTGTCGCTTCTAAGCCGAAAGTAACATCCGTAGCCAAACGTAAACCATCAACATCAAAGAAAAACTAAAATTCCAAAAGAAGAAGAAAACGCTCATAAATATTTATAAAAAAGAAATGAAGGAAAAAAAAACAACTTTTAGAAATGGTCGCCGGCATGTCAACACACAACAATGGCTATAACTCTAACAATAACCGAAAAAAAGTTAGTTTATATTTCGACGAGCGAAAATGAAACCGTTTTCTAAAAATAATTTATTGTTATACACTCGAGTAGCGAAAGGAAACGGATTTCGGCCAGTTTCTATGCATAAAAAAACCAAAGCTCGGGCTACCATTAAAGAAATTATACAATAAACCAGAAAGAAAGACTAGATTCGGGTTCCGAAGATTTGTGTACCCTCGCAGATCTATCGTTCCCATGGTTCTATACTCTGGGAAATGGGGAATCAAAAAATGTTTGAGTTTCGTTGGGAATATCATCAAAGCTTAATTTGATCTCTCGTAAACACGTGATCTGATTCTGATGGTGGGCCCAGATGATGCCGATCAAGAATGTGCATACGCAAACGTCTGGTCAAAACCGCAATACACTCCTGTCAAGGGTATAACAAGAGCCGGCCAGCATATGGCGGTGCGGCGGTGAACAATGCGAGATGGAACATAAGCACACGCACTTGGTGAACGAGGGAGAGCGGCGCATATTTCGAGCGGTAAAACGGTTCGCGTCAGCTGCGGCGCAGGCGTCGCCCGCTGCGGCAGCTCTCCGGTGCGCTACAGTGTTCTCTCTTTCTCTCTCTCTATCTCTTTTGTTCGCTTTGAAATATTCAAAAACATGGGAGAAAGGTGGGATGGCATGCCAAGGTTAATTAAGCACTCAGCTCTTCTTAATTCTAAACAGAACGTCGTATCAGTGCGTTGCTATCTATTTTCTCCCTTTGTAGGGCGTCACATTAATTGGTTAATTATCTTTTAATGCATCCTCCATTGCTCGTATTAGGGTCTGCACCTCATTTACCGATATTCTTTGCTCTGGTGCTTCATTCATCCATCTGGCATCCGATATGACGCTTTGCACGGATTGTAGAAAGCATTGGTTTGGCGCGCCACAGCGTAACGTTCATAAAGAAACAAAATTCACAGAGCAATACACCGCGCCGCGCCGCACCGTACTTTACTTAACTAACCCCATCCCACCCCATCACACTCCCCTCCACCGCACCGCAACGCACACGCACACAAGTGAATGGCCCGAGGGGGCCGGACTGCCTCCCTGGCTCTCCCTATACCCACCCCTCGCTCGCTGTCGCTAGGCCAGTGGCCGGCACTTCTGGTTATGGCTAATGCTGAATAACTTTTAATATGAGTACCGCACTCTCTCTACCAGAGTGTATTTACATCTTGATCAGATATGCATGTATTTGAACAAAGTCCCTGTTTTCTCTGTTGCTCTGTACAACATTTTGAGAATTTGTTAAGAAAGATATCGAGCCGAGCTGTAAGATATTCTGATCAATGCTATTATATTTATAATCTCTCATTTCTAATATCTTAATTAATGGAAAGAGTATACGAGTGTCAGTGACCTCGGACTTGGATTTTGTGCATTTTTTTGAATATGTCATGCTCGCTGGCCATGGATCCACAAAGGTAGTGGTGGGCCACAAGCAGAGCGTAATGCGATACCGGAGCGGGGCAAGGGGCTGGCTGATGGTCAGCTTCTGCGGTTATCAGAGGTACATACATATGTATGGTGTAGGCAAGGGACGGGAGGAAGCAGCTGTAACGATAAGTGACGTTTGGGTATGGTCATAGACCCCATCGAAAGCCCCCCTCCGTACCCAACCACACCGAAAACAGTGGAAAATCATAAAAAAGACATGCAGAAAACCGCAAATAAACCGAACGACGCGCTTTGGTGGCTTTTGCGGTTTTTTCTCTCTAGTTTTCTCTCCTCTCTGATAAGCTCCCAAGAAGAAAAAGAGGAGGAATTAGAAAAGAAGGTGGAATAATCAGAGGATAAAAAGGAAAGAGCCCAAAGAAGAAGCAAAATCACACGCATCTCGGCGAGAAATCCCACAAAGAATGTGAAGAGAGACGGGCGAAAAAAAACAAGAGAAGAAAATGTTGTCCATTGGCAATTCGAAGATTTACATACCCTTCTTCTTATTGATCACAAAAAATATATAAATATCATTAAAATATACTTAAAAATACATTTTATGATACATTTTCAAAAAGTACAGTAAGTAGGGATGGTAGGGAAGGGTCAGGTAAAGATATCCTCGAAAATTAAAAGATATTTCGATGTCCAGCAATAAGGTTCCCGTTTTTTCTATACTCTTGACCTGTTAAGCGATGGAGAGCAGAGAGTCTGCCAGGTTGGTCTTCTCGGACGGCTTTGTTGTGAATTTGTTAAAACATTGAGTTGGTGGAACATATGATCTCAAATTTAAAAGTTGGCGCGCCTCTTTAGTGTTGTGCAACGCGGCACGCATGCGCGGTACGAAGCGCCCTCTGTCGCTTGCAGCTCACGATAGTGCTGTGAGCCAAATGCGTTAGTGTGTTTCCGCAATATGATCAACGATAATACCGTAGTATTCCAGAATTAAAGTTCAGTCTTTAACACAATCTCAGAAACATTTAAATAAAGTTTGATAAGGCAATTGAATGGTTGAGCCTCAAAAATTACATGTATATTTTTCGAAGAAATGCGTTAGAAGCTGCTATCGATAGTCATATCGATTGTTTTTCAGCACTGTTGGACACTTGTTGTTGTTGTTTGCAGAAAAAACAGAAACCGAAAACGCGCGTCGCTTTGTTGTCAGTTCTATTTTTTTTTTGTCGCGCATTTCTCGTGCGTTTCTTTCTCGCTACGCCTCCGCCTTGTTGTTCTTTTTTCATTTTTATCTTATTTTGTTACATTAGTTGTTGCCATAGTTAATATGTTTTAACTATTCCGCTCGGGTATGTGCATACGTGCGTATATACGTGTTGTATGTGTGTGTTTCTCTTGTGCTGGTGTGTTGGTGTTAAGAGTTGACTTTTTTGTTTTGCTGGCGCATTCCGGTTTATTTTCTTTGCGCTAGCGCGAAAGAGTGCGAAAATAAAGAAAAAATTCCCCTTTTTACAGTTATTTGATGCAAGAAATTAAATCAGTGCTTGCGTGTTTGCGTGTGTGTGTAGCTCCATTCAATTATCTCTCTCTCCCTCTCTACCGCTGTTTGAAGGGCAATCCAAGAGATCTCCACATCCTGTTTCGCTTGCTCCCACTGTGCAGTTGCATTGCAGTGCTGGACAACGCACATGTTTTGCCCAAATCAGGGCGCGCGTGTGCACCACCCCCCTTTCCAACCGTTGCCTTCGCCGACATATAATCAAATTAACATTTAAACGATAAATGACTGGAGTGCTCTGTGCTTTTTTCACTTTCTTGCTGCCCAATTATCCAACATTATCGCAGTGCAAACAAATTGCGGACCTAGATAAACCCCTCCTCCACCACCTGATAAGGTCTCATGTTCATCAGCAATTAAAAAGTGTCCCTCAAATGTACATTTAATTTCGGTGATTTTTTTCGTTTCTGTTGGCATGATGTCATGTCGTCTATGTTTGCCTTTCAATTTAAAGGCCTAAATGAAATAAACAAAAATTTGCGTGTTTCGCGTGGGCTATGCGCTGTCCCCCCAAAAAAATAACAAAAGATTTCAGTTGCTGTGGCTGGACTGTTGCCGAGGCCATAAATGGCCAAGACACGAAAGCCGCCAGCTCTGTATAGGCAGATCGTTTACCAACACTGGCCACAGGCTGCTTGCAAGTGCACTGCCGACTGCGGTCAGCTGTCAATGTCATGTTTAGTGCAGTTAAATTTCAGCCTCGTTTCTTTCAATTGGAAGCGGTGATGGGACGGGGGTAGTGACGCGTCGTGTCATGTCGCTGAGTATGAGTAATCCGGCCTATGACAATGGGGAGAAAAAATAACTCGTGAACAAACACAACAGTGCGGCCCTTGTACCCCGTGGGTAGGAGAAGGGGGAGTCCTCTGCTGATCTCGAATCAAACTCTCTCGCTCTGGCTCCCTTGATCTTTTTCTCACACGGCGCCAGCTCATACACTACTAGGGCTACAGTGGTCTCCACAATTATTCGCCCACCTTTTGCAACCAATTCAAGACGCCCCTAGGTTCATATTTGAAAAAAGGCGTGCTAGCAGTTGTTCTCTTCCGAAATAATATCTTTCTATTATGGTTTTTTTCGTATGGCTTGCCGGCAAAGGCTGTACGAATAGTTTTAGGCACCACTGTGCAGGTGCTTGTGTGCACAAGTGCGAGCTGTTAAAATGTTGACGTTGCAATAGTCTCTTGGGAGATGTTGGGGAGGAGTAGGTGTGGGGTTGGCCTTTTCTGAATTTCAAATCCCCCCGATCGATATGATTTTTGCCGTACTGCATATTAATTTAGGGGAGTGTGTGTGCTTGTGCGTCAGTCACTGTCTCTGATTCGATCGTTCGTGCCTCTCTCGAGTGTCAGTCCCCAGAGCACTGTTAACTAACAGAGTGCGCTCTCTCTCGCCGCTCCGCTTATCTGGCACAATGCCGTGCGATTGTCTGCGGACACAAACGAGTTATATTGTTGTTGTTTACTGTTGTTATTGCTGGAATATATTTTTCTGATGTTGCATGCAACATCACGCATTGTCATTAGCATTTACTTTTCCCCCATCGTTTGCTTTCATTCATCGTTTGGATCGGTTCGCGAGGGTCTTTTACCGGCATCTTGCATTACAAAAAGAAACGACACAAATATTGCAGAAATTTCACTTTTTCTTAAGGAGAGAGAGAGAGGCAGGTGGAGGCTGTGAGAGAGAGAAAGAGAGAAAGCACATCGAATTGATAAAATATATTTTGATAACGAACACAGCGCGACTCATCTGACCAACATGCATTGATAAATAGTAATAATTGTTAAAACAATAACAATAAACAACGATAGCCGACTACAAATAACTATAAAGATAACGATAAACACCGATAAACACCGATAAATAACGATAAACAACGATAATCGACGACCATTCCGAACAAAAGTGCCCTGATATAAAAAACAAAAGAGCTCCAGAAAAATCAAAAAGATCAGCATCCACAATTGGAGATTCAACATCGACTGGGCTCCGAAATTGGAGCTTATTATGTGACAAGTGGCGGTAAAAACATACTAAACATTATAATCAGTCACGATCCACAATTGAAAGATACAAAATTCAAGAATTCGAGCTTTTGGTATCATTGATGATATAGAAGTGGAGCTTATAGATCAAACCACAAAAAGAGCCTACATGTTAAATAGAGCCAAAATATCAGTGACTATCCAAAAGTAGAGCCCTAAAGTTTCAAAGTTAATGGTTTACGTTTTGCTACAACAACCACATCATTTACACAAGAATATCCGACAAATTTTCAATACGATTTTCACCAACAACCGAGAATCACAATAAAAATGATTAAGCTGAAATCATTGTTTCGCAGAGGACAAGGGACCTCGAGTTCCAACTCCTCGAACTCTTCGCACAAGCAACAGCAGCAGCACTCCAACAACAACCGCCAGAAGTCGCAGTCGAGTACATCCCTAAACACGGCCCACGAACAGCAACAACAACAACAACAACAGCAACAGCAGCAGCAGCAACTCAATAACGCAGCAACTGCTGCAACAGCGAGTGGCACAACGACAAAGTTTTATTCCAATCACGAGGCAGCCACTTACGAAAGGGGCGTGGATGTTGGCGATGATGAGGCGCTGCTGCTGACGAATCAACAACAACAACAGCGACTTCAACAACAATTGCAACAGCAGCAACAGAGCAACACGCTGCCGCTGAAAAAGTCAAAGTTAAAAGGACAAAAGCAACCAAAGCAGCTGCCAATATTGCAACAACAGCAACTTCAGCAACAACAACAACAACTGCAACTTCAACAACAACAGCAACAACAACAGCAACTGCAACTTCAGCAACAACAACAACAACAACAACACCAACAAGCAGCGCCCCGCAATGCGAATGTACAACCAGAACATCAACAAAACCAACAACTAATGACTTCTATTGCGGCCGTGCCCTCAGCAGCGGCGACTAACAACAGCAGCACCACCAGCAGCAGCAACAACAACAACAACATTAACAACAACAACGCATTGTCCGCGTTGCAAGATGATTTCTATCAACAACTAGCAGCAGCGGCCACAGCAGCATCGGCCACATCAGCCAGTGCCAGTGCCAGTGGCAGTGGCGGTGGCAGTGGCAGCAACAACATTGGAAGCAAAAACAGTAGCGGCAATAGTACGGCGGCAAGCGCATTTCCGGCCGCAGCAGCCGCCGTGGCTGTGGCAGCCGTGGCAGCCAACAGTTATCAGCAACAGCAGCAGCAGCAGCAACAACAACAACAACTATTTAACAACGAACAGCAACAACAGAAGCTCTTAGAGGTAAGCGACAACACTCGAAATAGCATTGCTTGCCCCAAACAAAAACCCTTCTCTTGCCCCTTTTCAGGCTAACAACAAAATGCAGGAGCTGCAGAGGCAGCTGGATCGACTGGGAAGCGAGCAACTGCAGCTGGAGACACGCATCACGGAGCTGCTGCCATACCAAAGCGAGGTGGCCAAACTGAAGGGCGATCTGGTTAAGATGCAGGTGGGCTTGGTTGTGGGACCGAGGGTATTGGAGGCGATAGAGCGAGGGTTTCTAACCGCAAGGTGTTGTTGCTGCTTTTGTCGTTGCTGCTGCTGTCGCTGATGAGTTGTCATGGCTGATTGATAGAGTGATACCCTATAGGCCATAAGCTATAGTTAAGCGTATCCAAATGGATGAGGGCCATAGGGTGCTGGTCATCTGCTGTTCGGGATACATAAATGATACTTAAATGTAGGTTTATGTATATATATATATATATATATAAAGTATATAGAGCTAAGATCAATTAAGGATCCAACAGGTAGCTTTTAATATAAATTAAAGATTCCTGCGCATCCAAGGGATAGGTATTCGAGCAATCGAAACTACGAGTGGCTCCCGGGGGCGTTGCGCTTCGATACTCTAACCAATATTTATTGATATTTAATATGTCTTATAAGATATACAATATACGATACAAAAACAGACATGCAGACAGACAGACGGACAGAGAGATAGTGCGGAGAAGTGCTCCTTAATTGATTGCAGAGCAAATGCAGTGAGAGCTTGGTTTTTGCGTCGTAAGAACAACAGCAACAGCAACAGCAACAGCGACTCACCTGTCGAGAGCCGAGATAAAATCGAATCGAATCGAATTGAATCCAATCTAAACTGATCTGATCTTTCCGCTTACAGAATCTACAGGAGAAAACACAAATGGAAATCGGCAATCTGAAATATGAAAATGAATCTTTGCGCAATCGTTTGCGGGACGTTGTCAACTCGCCATTGTCGGATGCGGAGAAGCATCAGATTATACAAGAATCGCAGCGTTTGCATAGCTCAGCGCCCGCCTCCATAGCACTGCCTAGTGTAAGTGTCTAAGAGAAATTGCGTTGCGGATTCCACCATTTATCCATTCTATTTTCTCAGACAAACGAAGCGCACGATGGGACGCCCTGCCTCACGCCCGACTGGGACAAGCAGTCGTCGTCCAGCGAGGTATCAGTAGCCTGCCTGCAGGACAAGATCATCCAGATGGAGGAGACCCACTACTCGACCAATGAGGAGCTGCAGGCCACCCTTCAGGAGCTGGCCGACCTGCAAACGCAGCTCAGCGACACCCAAACGGAGAACGAGCGGCTCGCCGAGGAGAAGGACGTGCTCTTTCAGTCGCTCTGCCGCCAGACGGAGAAGCTGAACGAGTCCAGAACGCAGATCAGCAACCTCCAGGAGCTGCTGCTGCGCGACACCAAGCAGGCGGCTGAGGTGTGCACCTCGGAGCGTGAGAAGAAGCTGCTGGATCTCATCCAGACGTCACAAGAGGAGCGCGAGGCGGTGCTGCTAAAGCAGGAGGAGCTCAACGGAGAGCTGGCCGAGCTGCGGCAGACCCGCGATGCCGCACAGCAAGAGCAGCAGCGGCAACGAGAGCGAATCGCACTGCTCGACTCACAGCTGGACGCGGCCACGGCGGAGCGCAAGCAGGGCGAGGCACAGTTCTCGCAGGCCAAGGAGGATATTTCGCAGCGAGCCATCGAAATCAGCAGGCTGAGCACGCTGCTCGAGAATGCCCGCTCCAAGATCGAGGAACTGGAAGCGGACTTGGCGCGCGGCGACAAGACCGATCTCAGCGACGTACTGGACGCGGCCCGGCGCGAGAAGGATGCCCTGGAAGAGCGGGTAGCCGAGCTGCAGGATCAGTGGTCGCGCAGCCAGGCGGAGCTGCGCCGCCTGCGGGAGCAGCTGGCCGGACTGAGCGAGGAGTGCAAGGTGGCAAAGAACAATGCCAAGTGCGCCGTCTCCCATCTGGAGTACCGACTGGAACAGTTGCAGCTCGAGAAGGACAAGCTGGCCGGTGATTGCCAGGCGTTGGAGGAGCGGGTGGCTGAACTGCAGGTGCAGTCCAAGTGCCACCACGAGGACAAGGCCCAGCTGCAGGCGCTGCTCGGAGAAACTCAGAGGCACCTGGGGGACGTGAAGCTGAAGCTGAGCGACACCGAGCAGCGGCTGGACAAGGAGACTCAGTTGCGGCGACGAGAGGCTGAGGAATGGCAACAGTTCCAGGCAGATCTTCTGATGACCGTGCGTGTTGCAAACGACTTCAAGACTGAGGCGCTAAGCGCTCGCGAGCAGCTCCTGCTCGACAACAAGACGCAAAAGGAGAAGATCCGGCTGCTGGAGCAGCAGCTGGAGAAGCTCACCCCTAAGCAGCGTAAGATCAAGTCATTCATCACTTAATCTTTGATTGTAATCGCCTTGATTTCGTTCCCCAGAACCGCAGCCGTCGGAGACGCCACAGTTGGTGCTGTCTACGGTCCAGCTGGAGATGGCCGCGCGTCGCAGTAAACTAAGCTTTAGCCGGCAGGACTCCAGGCTGTCCGTCAAGACCCTCATAGAGAGCATCGAGAATAACAAGGCGGTATGGCGGATCCTTCTCTCTTCTTAAGTGTACTCTCGCTTGAACCCCTCCCTTTCCCTCTTTGTTATTTCAGCAAGGAAAGTCGGATGAGGCGGAGTCAAACTACAGCTCCAACTCGAGCCTGAACAGCGGCACTCCCGAGCTGGGGAACACTCCCATCATTCTTCCCGCCTCCGGTGACTGGCACGAGAGCGTGAGCAAACATCTTGCGTTTCTGTTGCAGCCTCTCTAATTGATCTTTTGCCTTTCTATCCGCAGCTTCGGTTGCCAGTCCTGCAGAGCAGCAATCTGCACGTAAATGTAGGAACAACGGCAGCAACAGCTGACGCTGGAACTGGAGGAGGATCAGCTAACTCTACCAAAGCCACATTGCCGTTGCGGGAGCAGCAGCAGCAGCAGCAGGTGACGGCTGCCAACTCCTCGCAGCCCTCCACACCGGCCACGCCCAGCAGCAGCGGCAGCAGTCAGCCGCCTAGTCTGCCCTTTGGCAGTGTCTCAAAGTCCTTCATTAGCGGTAGGTCAAGCGAATCTAGTGACTCTCCGATCTTCTTTAACACTCTGGTTTCTCTCTGTTTAGGTGAGCGCAAGGATCCGCTGAATATGCTGGCCAAAAACGGCGGCTCCAAGAGGAATGCACTGCTGAAGTGGTGCCAGAACAAGACAGTGGGCTACCGCAACATTGACATTACGAACTTCAGCTCATCGTGGAACGATGGCCTGGCCTTCTGTGCGATCCTTCACTCCTATCTGCCGGATCGCATACCATACGACCAGCTCAGTCAGGCGAACAAACGGCGAAACTTTTCACTAGCCTTTGCCGCTGCCGAATCTGTAGGAATTGGCACCACACTGGTGAGTCCCCCATCTGTGTTTTTGTTTTTTTTTGTGTGGGAAGTAATTAAATGCGGCTTCGTTATCTTCTCTAGAACATCAACGATATGTGCCAGCTGGAGCGGCCCGACTGGATGCAGGTGATGTCCTATGTGACGGCGATCTACAAATACTTTGAGACCTAGATATGTTACGCCTCACGCCTCACGTCTCCCGTCTTTTGTGTATATTTATAATCAGCATTTCCTCAATGTTTGGCGTTCAGACTACCCCTCTGAGCTCTGACACGACAAGAAGAAAATATTTTAACTTTAGCCCCCGCCCGCTACACCCTTAGTGTATATGTGTTTTTTTGTCTTTTTTTTTTGCTTCAGACCCTAATTGTATGTCTATATCTATGTGTACGTCTGTGTCTATATCTATGTACCCCATTTGTAGACTAGTGGGCGCTCGATATTGGTGGACAGGTGGTCGAAAAATCTTGACTTATTTGAGTGAATGAATGAAACGGAACAACAGCAATAGCAACAACAACATCATGAAAACCAATTGTTTATTAAATATTAAGTAAATATCTGTAAAATGCATTTGTTTGTTTTTTCGGTTTTACAGAAGAACGCTAGAACTCTAGATATCGTAGAACTTAGTTTAAAGATACTCGTATGTTTAAAAAGCAGCTTCGAGGGTTGTTGTTCAGGTTCCGGATGGGTACCAAGAGAGCTGTATTGAGAGTGCCACCTGGCGAGTGTCCACTGTATTTTCTGTGTGTGTCTGCGTGTATGTGTTTTTTTTTGTAATTGTAATTTTATTGTGTACGCTTGATAAAGAAGAATGGCTTAAGCAAACCACATAAGCTGATGCGAATGGTGATGATGGACAACTATAGCGATAGAGGTGGAGCAGCAGCCAGAGATGGAAAGTAAAAGGAGTCCGGACTAGCTTTAGCATACCATACATATATACTATATTTATTTATTCCAACTACTACTCGTACATCAGATCACTAAACTGTATTTTCTCAACGATTCATTCTACAAATACGATACTATAAAGAACAAAATTAACGCGCAATGAAACAATGCATCTGTCTTCGCTTTTCGTTTTTCTTTTGAAATAAAATCCAATTAAGTTGGCGACTAAGACTGGCGGATTAGCGGGAATTAGACCCTTCTCTGGAGGGGGCGCCTCCGAGGCAGTAAATTAAAAAATTCGTTCAAAAATGTTTACATCTTTTGCCGTTTGCATTTTCCGTTGAGCCTGGTTATTAAAATAGATCAATCTTGTTGCCGCCACATACATACACCCCAACACATGAGAGCATGGACACCAGGAGGAGTCAAAGGCAAAGTCCAAGTCCACATTTCACATTTAACATTCCACCCCGAGCCCCAGCAGGACTCCTGAGAAGCTCCGTCAAAATGGCGCCCCTTGAGGACAATGAAGGAGCTGCGAAATTTCCCTCTTAAGGGAAATTTCCGAACATGCCAGAAAGAGATGACGCCACAGGCTGCGGCTGCTCCTCTTACTCCGGCGGTGGGCGGGATTCCGTACTTGGTTGGTTGCTCGATGAAGTGAACGGAGGGGGGAGGACGGTGGATGGTGGGTGGCAGATGGGGGAGGGTGCGGAATGTGGCATAGGATTTAATTAAGTACCCCATCCCAAACCGCAGGAGGGATGCGAGAGGCGGAAGAATGGCAAGGGATTTAACAGCGTGCGATTTTTTTAAAATTAAAATGAGCCGATGATTGATGTACTCGAGGCTAATGAGGAGCGGCGGAAGATGTGGCTGGCGATGGAGGGGCACAAAATAAAGCGTCGGCAGAGGGAGTGCGGACCTTACGCACTGCACTGAGAAACGCGCAAATGAATAATAAAGTTTTCTGCTGTCTTGCCGTCAGATTTGTAGTACGATAATATGTTAATCATCTTCATGTTGTCTTTTTACAAACTATTAGTTTATTCGATTATTCGTAAGATTCCCCTCCTGGAGTAAACCAAATAAGAAAATAAAATTACAATTACGGCAGGGACCGTAAGTGTTATACGCTTGGAAATATAAATTGCAGTCTAACAATTATTTCCCAATTTTTATTGAAAAACTCGAAAATTAAACTTGTTTGTGATTTTTAAAATCAATCAATCAAATATTAAGGATTCAATTAAACTTTTATTTTTGATTTTTAAAATAAAATAGCTCTTATCGCTAAAAATGATTAAAATATAAATTATCATTCATAACTGTTATTTGCAGTCCCTGCAGTATTAGCAATATTGAATAATATTTTTTTAATCTTTTAGATTCATTCTTATACGATTTTCCTAAAATTGTTGCTCAAAACTATTTTTTTAATGTATTTATGTTGAATTTTTAGAATGTTCTTCAGAATTGTTCTATTGTATTTTTTTTTGGGTTTCTGTCTTAAATTTTTTTAAAATTCGATTTAGGACTCCTGTCAAGTTTGGTGATCTACTGAATATCGGATGGTATCGGTAGCATCCGGTAGATCCCATTCTGATACAAACAAATATTGAAAAAAAGTTTAATTCTAATGAAAATGATTTTTTTTGTTCGTGAACTTTTTATTTCTGCTTCTTGTCCGAAATAACCCTCCATATTTACATAGTTTTTCTTCTGCTGACTGTGAGATCCTGCTGAGATGTGATGCATCACGTGGACCTCTCTGTCGCTGTGCAGGAGTGCAGGATTCTGGCTCATGAAAACTTTATTTTCAGACGAAACAACAAAAGCTGGTCAACAAATTTCGATCTGGCCGACTACTGCAAGCACAGTGCTGATGAACCTTAAAGAAAAGTCCTGCAAGTTTGTAGACCATTTCTTTTTGGCAACCTCAGTCTGTATTTTGGACGAATAGATAAAATGTTGGATAAGTGGGGTTGTCAGTACAGAAAAAGTGACAGATTAAACGCCGTTTAAATTAAATATACACCATCATATATTTTATCCACAGCCCCAAAAGTATTCCCCAAATGAAAAAATTGAACGACAATTTCGTATGTAAAATGTAAATGTATTTTTCGCGCTCCGAATGTCGATTGGGGAGTCAGAGTGCTGTTTCATGTGGGAGACATACGAACACGACATGAATTTCGATATTTTCAACCAATATCTTAAAGAAGACCCACTGACACAATCCGCCTTCGGTTTTATTTCTTGGGGTGTTCATTTTCGAACCTCTCTATGCTGTGCATAAGAAAGGACTAGAATATGGAATAGATAGATAGATGGATATATAGAGATTGGCAACAAACTTTTTTGTCCCAAATGTAATTATATCGGATCGGATAAGAGTATTCTTCGAACATCAGCTATCTTCCCATTTGGATAACCCTTTGCTTATTTGTAATAACATTGTGCAGTCTCATTCGTTTTATATATGGAAATCCTCTAGCCAGTTGTAAGGATTTGCTTGACTCCCTCAGCTGCTCGAAATGGAATCAAATGCACATCAGTCCCAGTGTCCGTGTCCGAGCTCTAGTCCTTCTGGTCAAGCCAATGACACGTAGTCGGGACGGGACGCACCTTCAAGTAGCGGCGCTCCATTCAAACTCCCTCTGTGGCATTTTCTGGCCAGGACAAAAGCTACAGCAAATCGTATCTGTCAATTAGGCGGCTGCTTGCCGGGTACACTCTTTCTGGTATCTCACTCGCGCTCCTTAATGTCCGGCACATGTCGCAAAATGAAATTAAACGCTGACGCACCATTTGCTGACCAGCGACAGACGACCAGGACGACTGGTGGTGGAATAAAGGACCAAAAACGCTTTGTCATAAATCAAGAAATCGACAAAAATACATTTCAATGCGCCAAACATTTTAATATACAACAAGGAAGGAGGTCTGGCTTTGGGGGCCGAAGCTTTTAATACCCTTTGCAGATCCATCATTCCTGAGGCAGCTTTACGAGTATATTTTTATACTAGTAGTCATTCCACTTCGATCCAATTTGGCATGCATATCAATATGGAGTTTCGTTGCTTTTCCCTCAAAACCAAACATTTTCTCACAAAAATGGATCCACGACTGATTATTCCTATGCCAGCTCTATATATATTCTACGAGTAGTAGCCTGATTTTGATCAAATGTGGCTGAGATAGGTAAACCACATAAAGCTGTAATTTGGAAAAAAATTATCCTCTACCTGGGCAAAAAAACATACTGACCACGACACAAATGAGCAGTCAGACTCACTCTCTCAGTCGGTCACTCGTTCAGTCAGTCATTTAGTCATTGATTCAGTCAGTAAGTTTCCTTTCATTCGCCCAAAGGCAGTGCAACTATAAAAATATTATCTATAGTTTCCACTCAACTGCACAGCGGCACTTACCGGACGACGCTCGTCCTTGCCTCCCACCCGGAGCTTCTGGCCAATACACATGCATACACGCATACGCATACGCATACGAGGAGTATATGTTCGTATGTATAAATCATAATGGTTAATGTGCACTCATAAATGGATAAGCCAGGCAGTCCATATGCTCCAACCGGAGCAGGAGTCACAGCACGTGATGGCGAATATGAATATGAGTGGTGAATGGTGAATGGTTTTGGGTGCGAGATACGGGACATGGGACATGGCAGATGGATTGTGGATTGCGGATAGTGGGATGTGGATTGGGCGGACATTGCTCATTCAGGTCAGGTCAAGTCGGGCCAACTCAGACAGAGGGAAATCGTTTTGTGTGCGTGTCATTTATGGGTCATTTGCCATGGAACCCACGAGGGAACAACAAGTAAAGCTAATCGAGCTGGAAAGCAAAGGAAAGGTGGGGAAGTTTAGATCAGTGCTGGCGTCGGATCAATTAGATTCCACGGTATTCTATTAGTTGTAAAAAAAACATTTTAATTGAGCCTCTGTATGCTCCATTGGGGATTTTTAGCTCATCGGAAAATATAAACTAATTAATAACTACTCTTGGTCTAATATTGGTCCCAAATACTTCCTTGGGTACATGTGAAAACCATTCAAAAACTTATTGTGGCTATTGGATTTTCACCAAAATCTAGAATAACCTCATGGAATAAAAACGAAACACTATAAGACCTCAAAGTCTTTAATTATATTCCACACCCAAAGAAAAAATCCCCGAGCACCGAATAGCTACACGTAGACTTAAATATGTATGCCTAAATAAATAAATATTCAATTTCATATATAAAATAAATATACTTCATATTTTAATTAAATATTTTCATATTTGAATTAAATATATTTCCTAAAAATTTAATATTGTATACTTATTTTAAAGTGTTTTATATTTAGATTAAACATGGAACGTATTAAAAAGAAATTTTAACAGAGACCGTAACTATTATAAGCTACATTTAATTTTTACGGATAATCTTGGGTTCCATAATAATTATTTATTTTATTTACCAAAGTTAAGTTTTTCTCAAAAAACTAATTCAAGAAATATATTCAAATGGGTTTCTTATTACTAAATGGGATACATATGTATGTATGTACATAGTAAAGTTTACGCGAAATATTCATAAAGATTTGTATACATAAAAATAAATAAAATTTAACCTGGATCAGATTTTTCACTTGCTCCATATTCCTCGCTGTCGCAAAGAAAGAAAAGCCCGACCACACATGAGGGAAAAAAAATTGACTTCCCGTTCCGATTGTTGAATGGTAATTTTGATCCCTCTGGAACATAGACTTCTTAGCATTTCCGATTGCCTGCAGTCAAATCCTGTTTACTGCCCGTCAACTTAAACAAAATTTTCCATAATAATGATGATGCTCATGATGATGCCGATCTGAGAAAGACAGAACAACGAGCAACTTTTGCGGCGGAAGCGAGAATCGGAGACTTTTTACAAGAAAACTCCAACAACGAAAGGGGGGAATGAAAGGATTATAATCGAGTAATGGGAAATGGGAAATCGAAGAGCGGCAGAGAGACAGAGAGATTAAATACACGGGGCAACATTTCCGGTCTCAGCAGCAGCTCCCATTCAATTCAATCCAATCCACCATCCACACCGAACAGAACCCAACCAAAACGGACCAAATGATGTCCAGCCATGACGAGGCTGCTTCGATTTGATTT